CTCAAAGCAAATAAAGGATTACCAGATATGGTAATCTTTAAAAATACAATAATCCTTAAAATTTTCATTATGAGGCACCTAGGTAGCTCAGTCAGCTAAACGTCTGCCTTTGGCTCAGGTCATGACCCAGGGCCCTGGGATTGAGCCCAGCATAGGGCTCCCTGCTCAGCGGGGAGTCTGCTTCTCCCTCTGTTCCTCGTCCTTCCTGATGCACTTGCTCTTGCTCTCAAATAAATAAATAATCTTAAAAAAATTTTTTAATGAATTAAGCCATGAATAGGAGGTAACTGAACCAGAGTCATTTATACAAGTTGCTGTTCTTTTCAATCAAATTTATAGAAAAAAATGAGATTGAAGAAAAATTGCTTGAACCAAAGGATGTAAAGTGGTTTGTAACATCGGAATCAGGGATTCCCCGTCCTCCTTTAGGAGGATTTCGCAGTCTGCGCCCACTGCCCTGTGACTCGCAAGGCTCTTTCGGAGAGCTCTCTCTCTGGCCCCGCGGGCCGCAAGCGTCGCCCCGTGGTTTGCTTTGGCCGCTGGCACGTGGGCAGCGCCGGGTGTGCGGGGCGGGGGGTGTGGGGCGGGCGCCGCGGAGCGCGAGAGCCCTAACGCGTCCCCGACCCGGCGAGTCGCTCGCCCGCGCGGGGGCAGCGCGGAGCCAGCCCGCGGGGTGTGTGCAGCCCGGGGCTCCCTCCCTCGCTCCCTCCCGGCTGGCGGTGGGCGGCCGCGCCCTCCCGGAACAGCCTCCTTCGGCCCGCGGGAGGCCGGCGGCGCGGCCCCGCACGGTCGCGCGCGGAGCCTGCAGCCCGGGACTCGCGGCCCCGGCCCCGGGCCTCGGACGGTTCCTGCCGCAGTTAAACTAGAAACACGCATTTTTAAAAGGCGCTAAAGCGCTGCGCCAGTGCCGGCCCTCGGCAAGTGCAGGTCCGCCCGCGCGGCCCGCCCCGGCTCTCCGCGGACGCGGGAACTTAAGGGAGGCGCGCGCCCGGGGCTCCGCTCGGGACGGTAGGTCCGCTAGGCCCCGGCAGGGACCGGCGACCCCCGCCCCCCGCCCCGCCCCCGGCCCGCCCCCCGGCCGCCGCCACGCTCCGGGGGCGCCGCGGTGAGTGCGCGCTGGCGGGAGGCCGGGCGGGCCGGGCCGGGTCAGGCCGCGCACACCGGCCGGGGGGATGGGGACCGGCCCCAGGGGGCGGGGAGCGGAAGGAGGGAGTAGAGACCGGCCCCGGGCGGCGGGGGGATTGGGGGTTGGGGACCGTCCCCGGGAGGGTGGGGGATGCGGACCGGCCCCGGGCGGGGGGTGGGGTGATGGGGATCGTCCCCGGGATGATGGGGGGTTGGGGGATGGGGACCGGCCCCGGGCGGCGGGGAGCGGAAGGAGGGGGTAGGGACCGGCCCCGGGCGGGGGGCGGGGGGATGGGGACAGGGCGGCGGGGAGCGGAGAGGGGGTGGGGACCGGTCCGGGCGGGGGGCGGGGGGCGCCGCGGTGCCCGGGCGGCCGCCGAGCTCGGGGTCGGCAGCGGCGGCCGCAGGTGGCCCCGGCTGGGCGGGAGGGCGCCGTGCAGCGGCTTTCAGCGCCTCGCTCCTGCTCCTTCTCCGGGTCTCCTTTCCAAAAAGTTACTGGGAATATCGGAAATCATCTGCTCTCCTGGTAAAATGGCCTTTTTGCAGTCAGACTTTTAACGGGGCAAATGGCTGGGTGCCCTGCAGTGCGGTCTTTCTCCGAAACTTTCTGAACGTTTTTGGTTTTGGAGGAGAAGCCAAAAGGGAGCCGAACCTCCGACAAGAATCCCCGCCCCCATCTCCATGGCGCTCAAACAAAAGAATTTTCCGATCCTCTCGGAGCAGAGGAGCCCTTTGCTCTAACTACTCCCCGTAGCCAAACGTGCCAAGTTTACCGAGCAAAATTTTTCCTTTCTTGAAAGAAAACGTTAAAAAAAAAAAAAAAGAAAACGTAACTACCGTCCAAACTTCTAATGATATGGTGTTTAACAAAAGCTATTTAAAGAAAAAACCCAAAAGCTATTGTACAAAAAGCTTAATAAATGGACATAATTAGGTAAGTTATTTTATGCATTTTGCACTAGTATATTATTCCTACACCCTTTTTGGACAAAACTGAATTGAGGCAAAGGACAAATATGCAACAATGTGTCAAGTGGCTAAGAGGCAAAACAAGATAATTCTCAATTAAAAATTCCTTGTATTACAAAGGACTTGAAAGTAGGGCAGCTTTAAATTCCTCTAACTCATACTAAAGTGTGCATTTTGCAAGACAAAATGGATCAACACCCTTCTTTTTTAGGAATATATGTATTAAAGTAAAGTAGGCCTAAAATAAAGGTCCACTATTCATTTTTAGAAATGCATTAAGAGAATACATCTGACCTTATAGCTAATGGTAGAGTTTGGCCTAAGACATTCAGAAGACCTCTCTGACTCACCATACAATTAGCTGTGGGTCCTACACATTTTCTACAATCCATGTGTAACCTTTATCTAAATATTTTCACACTTACCCCTTTATTGCCTGAGCTAAGTATCCACACTTCACAGTTTGGAAGCATTTTTACTTGCTTTTTAACTTTACCTAAGTTTTCAGCCTGGTGAATTAGTCTGGAATCAGACTAATTTTTCTTTTTAAAAAGATTATTTGAGAGAGAGCGTGCATGTATAAGCAGGGGGAGCTGCACGCAGGGGGAGAGGGAGAAGCAGGCTCCCTGTTGAGCAGGAACCAGAGGTGGGACTGGGATCCCAGGACTCTGGGATCATGACCTGAGCTAAAGGCAGATGCTCAACTGACTGAGCCACTCAGGTGCCCCCAGACTAATTTTCTTAATCACCCAGATCTGTTTATAAATAGATTAATCCATGGTTAGTAAACTAATATTTCAACAGAGATGGAAAGTAAAAGGTGAATGAATTGTGGTTTCTTTGATATTTCAATTGTCAAAGCTAATTATTTAATTATGTTCTGCTTTAAGTTACTGGTGGATGAAGCAAATGAAAATGATTTCAGTGATTCCACACAAGTCTGTGGGATTTTGCATTAGTGTGAATTCCTTACCCAAGATCCAGGGTCCGCTTACATATATTTATTTGTAATCTGCCAGATTAATCCCTCAGAGGTGACCCAACCTGGCTGTGGAAGGACAAACAGAGCTGTCCCTCATTTGCTGTTCTCTTTTGAGAACATTGCCTGTTTTTTTGGCCTTTCACCTGCCTAATACTGTGTATGTGTTCAAACAGAAGTATAAAATAATAAAATTCACTTCTATGGGTATTTCATGAGATGATTCTTAATGGGACAGTCACGTATTTTATGTATATACACCCATATTTACACAGATTATTCATCCTGGTTTTGATCTCCCTTATTCTCAATGTTGGTATTCGGGGAGAGGATACTGAGGAATCTGGGTTTTAATCTGACAATCTGATCTTTACCATGTGTATCAGAATTATTGCCAGCAGTGTATCTCCAACCAGTCGGTGAGCTTCTGGAAGGATGGAATATGCGGTTCTCCCACTGGCATCCTGGGCAGCAAGCCCCTGTCTGACCCTGAGCAGGTGCACAATGAGCAATCTGAATGAGAGTGGATACAGGGAATGGGTTGTAAGCAAAATAATCACATTCATTGGCACCTTTCTGGTAATTTAAAAACTGCTTAAGAAAAAAATTAAGGGAGCTCTTAACTTTTCATTTTCTTCATGTTAGCTAACCATAGAGGTAATAGGTGTGCATTTTCGTTGGTTACTAGGTAAGGATGAAATGCGTATCACAGGGCTCCAGATAATCAGACCTCCCCACCATTTTCTACCCAAGAGAGAGGAGCAACCTATTTTATATAAAGGTCAATTTACAAAGTGAAAATAAATTTGGGGAGGGAAGATGGATCTGTGATTCTTTTTTGCTTTTTTTTTTTTAAAGATTTTATTTATTCATGAGACACAGAGAGAGAGAGGCAGAGACACAGGCAGAGGGGGAAGCAGGTTACATGCAGGGAGCCTGATGAGGGACTCGATCCCTGGTCTCCAAGATCAGGCCCTGGGCCAAAGGCAGGCATTAACCGCTGAGCCACCCAGGGATCTCCTTTTGCTTTCTATTTTCATAAACCCTCAAGAATTCTTCCAGCTTTACCTACTCTATTGAATACCAGTGTCAAAGAGAGAAATAACATTGCCTTTGGCCACTAAGATCTTAATGGGTATGTTTGAGCAGTAAATACTGGTAGCTTCTTTTTGTTCGTGCCCTGATGTTATACAGCACTGGAGAGTCCAACAGTGAGATCATTTGCATTATTTGATTTCAGCCACAGGTGTAGAGGTAGAAAATTTTAACATTTTCCTTGACAGATGGAGAGGTTGGGACTTGGTGAGCTGGGTCTGAAAAAAGTAGCGTCAAATTCATTGCATTGAATGCAACATCCCTTGAGTGCCGCCTGCGCTGAGCAACCTCCCACACTGGGTTCCCTCCAGGGCCAGATGGCAGCACACTATGCCCCAAGGGACTGTCCCTTATGGTCCCCATAGTTAAGACTGCCTAGCCAACCTGAGCTCACTCACCTGAGGACTGTTTTATAAAATTACTTTGTATTTACATTGTCAGGAGCTACTCTATGAATACATGTACACAGGTTGTGTCTTTCCATGTCAGCTTTATCTAATCATAAAGCAACGTTAACATAATTGTAAAAGGCTCAGAATTCCAAATTCAATGACATTTCACTATGCATTTAACTTGGCTTCACACACGACACACAAAGTACAATATAAAAGTCGCAAAACAAACAAGATACAATAGGGTAAGCTAATGAACCAAATGCACTATCAGTCCATGAGCACACCAGTGAGATGAGGTCTCGACCAGTGCAGGTCCGCTCAGCTCTTCCTGGTTCGCCCGTCGAGGATGTCTAGTACGTTCGGAGATCAGTCAGGCAGAACCTGCCCTGGCGGCTACCTTTCTGATGTAGGCGGACACGAAGGGTCGGCATCTGGAAAATATGAGTTTGCTGCAAAAATCTTCCCTTTTTAAAGGAGTTTGATCCGTCTAGCTCCTCCAGACTTCTGATTCTACTGATTACCATTTCTTGGTTCTTCCAGGCTCTCTTGATTCTGCTGGTTCTGACTTCTGGTGGTGCCAGGCTGTTGGCGGTGGTGAGACTCACTCTCAGCTCATCACCCTTGTCTGGCTCTCCTGATTCATTACACCACCGCCTGACCTGAACCACTGCATCTCCTTCCCCACATATGTGCACACCTGCCGTATACAGAGCTTATCTAAATGTAGCTTCAAATGTGCATGCTCTCGTAATACCTTTCTTCTCTCCCTTTTTTGTTTACCTCTCCTCGTTCTCCTTTCACACCAGTCACCAGTCCTTCAACCAACAGTGTATCTTCCTCCTTATTTTTCTTCATATATATCCTACATATATTTGTATATTATTTAATAATAATGACATCACATTATACATAGGTTTCTGCATGTGGCTTTTCTCCTTGAAGAGTTCCTCCAGGAATCCCTCTAGGACTTCTAGCAGAGCTCCAATCCATCCTTTTTAATGGCTGCACAATATTCCCAGGCATGAACACGCATTATTTACGCAACCGTTTTCCAGCTGACGGGCATTCCCATGTATCCAGTTTTTTGCCATCCCAGATAATCCTGTAATAAACATCTTAATACATATTACTTTATGTATGAGTACTTTTAGTCCTACAGAATGGATTCCCAGGAATGGGATGCCCCGTTATATCTATTTTTAATTAGCAGAAATTGCCAGATTGCTTTCCTAAAATAGCCTTCACATCTCCACTAGTAATGCATGAACGTCTCCCTTTCTTTGCCTCCCTTCTAGCTTTGGCTGACAGACCTCTTCGTTTTTGTTAGTGTAATGGATCTAAAATGAGACCTTACTATTACTTTAATAGCACTTCCCCCAAATAAGTGATGTGAATCTTTTCACAAATTTCTTGTCCATCTGATGACTTTGTTCTTAGGTCACCTGCCTACTCATATTTCTGGCCCATTTTTCTGTTGAGTTGTTTGTCTTTTTCTTGTCAGTCTGTGAGAGCTCTTTGTGTATCAGGGCTGTGGCTGAAGGTACGAGACTTTTCTCCCAAGCCAACGTGGCGGGCTAGGAGATTGTCGGGACGGCTGAAACACGCCCAGGGATTGTTGAGCAGAGCTAGATAGGCTGTTCTGACCTGTGGCCACAGACTGCTGGTCACCATTCAGATACTCAGTCTGAACAGAAGATTATACTGAGCCAGAATGTAGCTGTGTGCGGAGGACTGAGAAGGTGAGGCAGCCCAGTGCTGTGCTGTCTTCCACCGGTTAAGACCTCCGAGAGTGAAGGCCTGCCAAGGCGGAGGATGTCCCTCTGCCACCCTTGGAGGGGCAGTGCTGTGCTGGCCAACATTTACGGTGCCGCTGCGTGTCCCTGGCTCAGATGATGCAGTCCACTAAGTCTGAAGGATTAAGACATCAAAATCACTGCTTCTCACTCTTGTTTCCACCTTCACTGTTACAATAAATGGCATTCATGTATGTGGCACTCCTCTGGGCATCCCAGATTTTGAAGAAACCCAGAGACATCTTGCAGGGAAGTAAAGCATGACAGTAATTGGTTACCCCTGGCACTTTTAGGGGCACAGCAGGAATGATCACTCTCAGACTCTGGCACGGTAAGTGAATCTGAAGCTTATATATAGTCTTCAACCCCCAGCTCAACAAAGCGTATCAGAATGCAAAGCAATAGTCTTGATATTACAGAAAACCTTTGAATCTCTTAATTTATAAAAAATACAAGGATTCATAATACTATCTTTTCCACTTTTGAATATAACTAGTAATAAAAAAAGGAACTCTGTAAAGAGGATTCTAATGTAGAAAAAATGAAATTCTTAAAATAGAAAAAAATTTAGGTAAACTTTGGTTACCAGAAACAATTTCTAATACTAAAATGTGGTCTGTGTACTAACCATAATGTTACATAACCATGACGTTTGCTAAGCATAAAAAAAAAAATATCCTTGAAAATGGTCTGTGACTCTCCTCATCCTGTTACTCCCGCTTTGGGGACCTCAGGGATTTAGTTAATCTCTTAGAGGAAATCTAGCCTTTAATTTCTAAAGACTTTTTATACTAATTGGCCTTCATAAGTAACTATTCAAATCAATGCCAGTTGTGTCACAAGATATGTAAATAGCGATTTCTTTTGTTAGAAGAGGACTGGTACTTGTCTTTTTTGATGATTTTGGTAAATTTGTTATTTTTTTAAAAAATATGAGTGATATGTTAAATGTCATGCCCGATCCTAACTAGAACAGCTTGGTAGGGGGAAAATGAGATTTAGAAAACTTTAATGTAACTGTAACAAGACTCTTAGCAATTGAAATAAAAGCTTACACTAAACACTACTATTACTATCACAACTTATTTTTTCTGTTCCCAACTGTGTCTTCCATCATTCCCTGTTATGTTTAACAAAAAAAGATTCTGGAACTTTATCACCTCCACTGCTGCTGCTTCAAAACCTGACAGTACAAGTGGACACTGGCTATCTCACTATGCAGCATAGCCTTGATCTGCCCCCTGAAATAAGTTCTCAGAAGAGCTCCAAGCCTACCGTATGTTTTCTTATTATTTTTAAATTTTCAAAACAAGTTTGTTTTAGAATCACACATTTGGTCCTTTGGGAAGTTACTTCCTGAGGAATAAACTTCACTTTTTTTATCTCCCCTTGTTTGACAGCTTATTGCTGTGACAAACTGTTTTAATAGGAAAGACACTGCAATGATAGTCACTGGGTTGTGTTCGGATCCTTTCAACCACAGATATTTGTTGGACAGAGCAAGAAGCTATCGCTTTTATTTTCCTTCTTAATTAAATGCATTGATGAAGCTTTTCATCTTTTAAATATATAGAGGGGACCAGTGTGTTGGGATGAGCAGTACAGAAAACTTATTTTATTTGCTTTATAACTGGAGCATCTATGACAGGGCCAGAAAAAAAAAATGAACACTAGAATAATATGGTGGGGCAGCCCCGGTGGCTCAGCAGTTTAGCGCCGCCTTCAGCCCAGGGTTTGATCCTGGGGACCCGGGATTGAGTCCCACATCAGGCTCCTGGCATTGGAGCCTGCTTCTCCCTCTGCCTGTGTCTCTGTCTGTCTCTGTGTGTCTCTCATGAATAAATAAAATCTTAAAAAATAATAATAATAATATGGCACTAGCCTGTATTTCTAGTGTGTGTTTAGGGGGTGTTTACTGAATTTCTTTTACTCACTGCCTGTCCTCTGCATTTACTTCTAGCACTGCTGATGGTTCTTTAGAACTCAGGATTCATGCTGCTGTGTTTCCACCTGAGAACCGACATTGGCTGGAAACCCTGATGCAGTGAGAGGGACCCTCGAGGCCCACAGGACGTGGCCTACCATCTAATTTAACGGTAAAAATTTGCAACACTGCTTTGTATGTTTCTTTTCCTAAATATGTATATTTTTAAAACGTTTCAGTGGTTTTTAGTACTGCCATTTTCCTCATAAGGACATTCTTTTTAAATTCACAAAAGAGAGTGCCCGGGAGGCTCAGTGGTTGAGCGTCTGCCTTTGGCTCAGGGCCTGACCCCAGGTCCCAGGATGAGTCCCACATGGGGCTCCCCACAGGGAACCTACTTCTCCCTCTGCCTGGGTCTCTGCCTCTCTCTGTGGGTCTCATGAATAAATAAATAAAATCCTTAAAATAAATAAATTCACAAAACAAAACTTGAATTTTGAAAAAAATTCCCTCGTAGAAAGGTTTTTGAAAGGCTGTTCACCACTGGGACCTACACCCTGAGGTTTGAGAAGCGAATTCTTCATTGCCAAGGCTTTCTTTTCGGTTTCTTGCTAGTTTGTTGTGCAGCACGGGGAGCAGGACAGCAAAGGGAGCTTTGCTCTTCGGAGAAGAGGACCACCGTCCTGAAGGCGAGCGGAGGCGGCCCGTCCAGGCGCCGCACCTGCCCACCACTTGGTACCGGAGCAACCCCTGGCTGCGGGGCGGGGCGGGGCGGGGGCAGCCGTTGGCGCCCGGCCCGCAGCCCCAGCAGCGCCCGCGGCCCCAGGCCGGCCTCCCCGCCTTTCTCCCTCGGGACGCGGGCGCGGCGATGCGGACTGACGAGCTGCCGGCGGCGCCCATGGACACCCCGGGTCCCGGCCGCCGGGGGGCGCCGTCCTGCGAGGCCTGGGGCTACTTCCACCTGGCCGCGGCGCGCCCGGGCCGCGCGGCCGGCCAGTGGGCCACCTGCCGGCTGTGCGGGGAGCAGGTGAGCCCGGGCTTCCACGCGGGCGCCGCGGCGCTGTGGCGGCACCTCGAGGGCGCGCACCGGCCGGAGCTGCAGAAGAGCGCCGCGCGCCCCCCGCCGCCGCCCCCCGGGCCCCCCGCGGCCGCCGAGGGCGACTGGGCGCGCCTGCTGGAGCAGATGGGCGCGCTGGCCGAGCGCTGCCGCGTGCGGGAGCGGGAGCTGGCGCGGCGCGAGGCGGCCGTGGGGCGGGCCCAGCGCGCCCTGGAGCGGAGGCGCCGCGCGCTGCAGCAGGAGGAGCGCGCCGCGGCCCAGGAGCGCCGGCAGCTGCGGGCCGACGCCGAGGCGCTGCGGGCGCGGCTGCGGGACCTGGGCCGCCGCGAAGCCGCGCTAGCCGCCGCCCCCGGCCCGCCCCCGCCCAAGGGAGAGCCCGGGGGGCACGCGGACGGCTCCCCGGGCGCCGGGGTCCTGCTGCTGTAGGGCCGCCCCCCACCCCCGGGGCGCCAGCGCCTGCCTTGGCTGCCCCTGCAATGACCGCTCCAGCCGCTCGCTGGCCTACGTCACCCGGAGCCTTGTACCTGGTGGTGATGTCGGGAAGGCAGAAGCCTCCTTCGGGACCAAAGACAAACCACAGTCCTCGCCAGCCAGGGTGCACGGTGCATGGAAAGGACGGTACAGCGTTCACCCAAGAAGGGCTCTACTCATTTCCTACTGAGTAAATCTCCGGTGAGTTGGCTTGCCCAGCACGAAGCTCTGAAAAGGCGGCCCTTTCGCCTCCACAGCTGCTCTTGGCCCTCCCCAGCGCCTCCCCTGTCGCCCCCGCCCCCCAGCCTGCAGACCGCACCTCGTGCACCCTGAGTCCCCCCAGCTGTTTCCTTTGCATTTCAAACCCAGAGGCAGCTGTGGGGAGTTGCCTGGCTTCCCTGCCTCACTTCCTTTTAGAAAAATATGACCTCATCCCTCACTGTTAGGAAGGAAACCTGGGTTCCCCACATCTCCACCCTCCTCACTTCTAGGCCACAGTAGAAGGAAAGCATCCCTCCCATCGGAGGCCACTTCCACCTTTCTCGGTGTTCATCCATTCCGCTTCCACCTTTACTGGACCTTTGCTCCATTAGGGTTTCTCCTTTCCTCTGACTTCCTCCTTCCCTCTCCCCAGGCTGCTGCTCTTCCTCCACAGCACCAGGTCTCCCCTGGCACTAAAAAGACTCCCCCAGCCTGGCTGCCCTCAAGTGAACAAGGGGAGAGCTCCAGCTCTCCCAAGGGGAGCCCCGTTACCCTTGCCCTATCCTTCCTTCCAGACTTCAGTCCTTCCCCTCGTGGTCAGCTTCCCATCCTACCCTGGACCCTTAAGAAGCTGAATTGACTATTTATTTTCAGCCTCCAACTACCCTCCAACTAGACTGAGCAGTTATTAACATCTTGCCTTAGTTGCTTTTTCGGCCCTCTACCCCAAACATGCAGGGCACTTCATCCATAAGTATTTATATCCCTTTAGCCTCTAAAATTCCCCAGTTGTCTCAGAAATGTCTTAATCTTTTCTAAAAAAAAACAAAACAAAAGGGTCCAATCACGGTTCATACATTGCTTTTTGATTATGACTTTGTCTCTTTTAGTCTAGAACAGCTTCCTTTTTTTTTTCCATGACATTTTTGAGAGTCCCAGCCATCTGCCTTATAGAATGCCCATTATTCTGGGTCTGTCCGATTGTTTCCTTAAGCCAGTTTATGTACTCACTCTTGACTCACCTACTCTGTGCCAGTGACTCCTACCTCCAGTGTTCTTCCCAGTTCTTCAGGTCCAACCTCTACTGTATGTCTCCACCTCTACTTGTATATCCTGTTACTGCTGATGGAAATGGCAAATCTGTTCTGTTCCACATCCCCCCCTCTTACCTAACAACAGTTACTGGGCTCTTAAAATATATAGGTACATAATGCCCATGCATTATCTCACTTTATTCTCATAGCTCCCTGAGGAGGTATTAATACTATGCCCATTTACAGCTACAGAAACTGAGATAGAAAGGGGTTAAATAGCCGGTACAAGATCACAGCTGGTAAACAGTAGCACTGGGATCCAAATCCAGTCTCTATCTCCAGAAGCACTGGTCCTACCTGCTGTACTGTCTTCCCTTGCTAGTCACTGACCTGACACACCAGTTTCCTCCCTAACTCTCATTCCAGGTAATATTGTCAGAGACATTATGCACTAAGCATTCACCATGTGCCAAATGCTTTACAAGAATAACTGCCTACCATGCAGCAACGCCACGACATAATTAATCCTATGCCCATTTTGTAGAGGAAGAGATAAGCTCAGGGAGTTAAGTAATGAGGTAGAATGGGATTTGAACTCATGTCACTGAATCATAGGCCCTGATTTACTGAGTCTGTTTCTACAGAGCATCACACGGTCTTCCTTCTAATGCCACCTGCCAAGCTCAGGCCTCATTTATCATTCATCTGGGGTTCATCTTCCCATCCTTGTCTTCCCCAACTATCCATTCTTAACACTCAACTAAAGGAATTCTTCTAAGCCAACACTGATTATATCATAATTCCTGCTCAGAGGCCCCCCAAGGTCACCCATCACCTATAGTCTTTGACTTTGTAGCCTGTCATCCAAGTGCCCCCACACTGCTACCAGTCTCATCTGTCCCTTCCCCTACATTTACTATATGCCCCATCCCAACTGGACTCCCCATTCTTCCTGACATGCCCTGGTCTTGGCATCTCTATGCATTTGTTTTCCTTCCACTTAAAATGTCCCTTCAATCTCTGAATGTGAAAAATTCTACCCATTTTCAAAGACCAAGCTCAAATTCAATTGCCTGCTTGAGGCCTTCCTTGATTTCCCCTCCCCCCCTTTTAAAGATTTTATTTATTTATTCATGAGACACACACAGAGAGAAGCAGACACAGGCAGAGGGAGAGGCAGGCTCCATGCAAGGAGCCCGATGCAGGACTCAGTCCCGGGACTCTGGGATCACGCCCTGAGCTGAAGACATGCCCAACCACTGAACCACCCAGGCATTCCTCCTTAATTTCTCCTAATTGAGAGATAATTCTTTACTTCTCTGGACTCCTAGCATTTTGTATCTCATAACCCTTAGAACAGGCCATCTGGCATAGATAAGAATAGGCTATATGGGTTCTCGTCTTCCTTCTCCTGCCAGACCCTGAGCCTTTGGGTTATCCTATTCCCACAGTGCTTTGCATATAATAGCTGCTCAATAAATATTTGAGACGTTGTACTCACTTGAAGATTTTTACAAGTTAGTTATTAATATAATTATTCATTTATCATTGATTCTGTGTAGAATTCATAGCAGAAAAAAAATAGCCTAGAAGGAAATAGCAGTAATAATTTTTTAAGCTGTTTAGTCAATAAAGATTTAGTAAGTGTCTGTTATTACACTGTTTGGTTTGAATCCAAACTAGTATGTCATTACTAGTAAGTCATTATCAAGAAATGCTTTTCTTAAAATGTTTTTTCATTACACAAGTAACACAAATGCAATGCCTAAATCTAGGAAGAAATCAGAAACACATCCCCCAAAGTCCTGTCACCTTAGTAAAACTTCTATAAATATTTTAATGTATTTTATTCTTTTGTCTTTTACAATCTTTACATTATCCTAATATGTTATTTCAATTAAGTATTGAAATATAACTTCTTCATGTGGATGTATAACTTGGGCTGTAAGAAGAATCTGAACTTTTTAGAAGAAACCTTCTACAAATGTTATTCTATTTCACCAACTGTTAAAACCATTAATATCAGCAAAGATCAACTTTTAGAATCTCAACTGCTCTTCAAGAAAGATGGCCAATGGGAGCACCAATAGCCTCTGTTTAGGGGACAGGGGGAACAATTCGCCTAACTGGTAACTTAGTGCTCGCTGTGGGAGGGAGTTAAGGGAAGAGATTTTACTTTCTGCTTTATATACTTCTGCATTGTTGTACTTTTTTATACCAAGCATGAATTACTTTTATAATCAAAAATAAAATTTACATTTCTCAAATGAGAACTCTTGACCATCAGCATTCCACTTTCTTAGTTAAAATATACAAGACCTCCAACACAAGGACTGATGTAATCCCCATTTTTGGAAAAGCCTAGAGAGAAATGCAGCCCTTGTCCAGTCTAACACTATCATTTGATAGAAGAGAAAAATGAGCCCCAGAGTGACTTGCCCACTCTCAGGAGATATGGCTATGGTGGTTCACCTGACTCCAATTTCAACAGATATTGGCCTCTTTGGCCTTGAGGACTTCTGCTGGCTCATCTGTCAAAGCACAAGGGCTGTCAGGACCAATAAGCCAAGCTGGCCTCCAGAAAGCATAGAGGTAAGTTCTAGGTACTGTAATGGTCTAACTATGACACAGTCGGCTCATAGAGTTGTTGTCACTGCTGATGGGTGACAGTCAAGGTGGATTACAGGGACTGCCCTGGCCTCTCTGCCTGTGACACAGCTGACTCACAGAGAATGGTCATTGCTGAAGGGTGACAGTGACACACCTCACCTAGATCAGCAGGGCTTCCCTGACTTATGTGATCAGGCTTCCTAACAGAACCACTCACATGTTGCCTTTGAGAGCAAACACACAGTGGTGAGGTGGATGGCTGGTATGGGGATGCAGAATGCCCTGAACCCAACTCCTGGACTTCTGCCATGATGTAAAGTGATCAGTCATTTCTTTAAGTTAAGATTTGGCAGAGAGGAGGGGGAAGCAAAGCAGGGTACTGACAACCAATGGTGAAACAGCTAGAGCCCTTTATATACCACACCTAAGTTGTCATCCCTGGAGCTGGAGAGGGAGAAGCTGGTTTGGGCTGACTTTCTACTTTAAATAGCTGCCCATGTCTTTAACATCTTAGAAGGGATTCATAAAGACTAGGCTTTTGTTTTGCAGCCACTCAACAGGAAATTCTATTTCTAAAGGTCTGAACTTCTTACTTTCCACACCTGAACCTGCCTCTTTGTCTGCAAAAAGGACGAGGTGATCATTGAGGTCCTCTTTGTGTCTAACATGGTATGATTACATGAAATACAGCTAAACATCAATTGACCTTTGAGTCTAACATGGTATGATTACATGAAATACAGCTAAACATCAATTGACCTTTGAGTCAAGGAGTTGTTTGGTTTAACTGCATTTTCTTGTTAGCTGCAAATTTAGAAGTAAATGTTGAAAGTGACATGCTTATTCTCAAAAATAACGGGAGTGTATCAAACTTCTTCCATAGTACTGAGGTACTAACTCTATCATTCACTCCCTAGAACTGATAATGTGTGCAACAGCAATGAGTATGCTCTCTGGTACTCACTCTTTCTGTCCTCACGACACATTGCAGGCAGAGCAAATATAACTGTCCATACTTAACAAATGAGGCCACACACTTCAACAACATGAAGTGACCTGCAAAAAGTGAACAGCAGATTGGAGGCTGGAGCTCAATCCATGGATCCCCGTCATACCTGCGGCCAAAGAGTTGCACTTCCTCCCAGGCCTCCCTTCTGGCCCACGTCTTCACCAGTGCTATCCTGGCCAAGTGCCTACTGACACTCGGGTTGATGTTGGCTCCTTTCCACCCACAAGTTCTTGTGCTGGAGGCAAGCCAGACCTTTAAGAAGTGAGGATGGCCTTTGTATTAGTTTGCTATTACAGATGTTAACAAACTACCACAAACCTAGCAGCTAAAAACAACCCAAGTTTGTTATCTTAAAATTCTGCAGATCAGAAGTATGAAACTGAACTGTCAGCAGAGCTGTGTTCCTTTCTAGAGGCTCTAGATTTTCTTTTTTAACCTTTTCCAACTTCTGGAGGCTGCCCACATTTCTTGGCTTGTGGCCCCTTCTATCTTCAAGGTCACCAAGGGTCATTCTTTCTCCCATTACATCACTCTGCTACCCTCTTCCACATTTAATGGACCCTCTTCCTTACTGTATGGTCAGTTGGTTAGCAACCTAGTTGCTAAAAAAAAAAGAGGCCTCTTTTTTTTCTTTTTTTAACCACATGACTTCATTTATATTTGTTTTCTAAGAAATGAACAACAAAAAAACCCCCAGACTCTTAACTTATAGAGAAATGATGGTTAGCAGAGGGGCAGTAGGTGGGGGGATGAGGGAAACAGGTGAAGGGGATTAAGGCTCCGTGTCCAGATGAGCACCGAGCAGTACGTCTCCCATTGCATCACTCTGCTACCCTCTTCCACATTTAATGGACCCTCTTCCTTATTGTATGGTCAGTTGGTTAGCAACCTAGTTCTATCTGCAGCTTTAATTCTTCCCTGCCAGATAATATATTGATAGTTTCCAGGGATTAGGACATAGACATTTGGTGGGGGGCAAGCATAGGGGATCTATTATCTGCCTACCACACTCCATTATCCTGCCTGGCTTAGGTTTGGGGGTATGTGAGAAAGGCAAGGTGCTTGATGGAGAGCCCCTATTCCCCATCCAATATTTTAATGGGTGTCCTAATCTCCCTCCGCCTTTGTAAATCTGTGCAGAGAGTGCTCAGACTTTTCTGAAACAGGTACCTGCCAGATGGATGTGAAGGATGCCTCTGGGGATGGACATTGGAGGCCTCCATAGTGTTGAGAACTATTTAAGTATCTGTGTACTACCTAGGATCTGATGGACTAGGAAGGTTAAGTGGTGATGTGTGAGTTGTTAAGCCTTTGGAGTCAGATAAGACTTAAAATTTAAGCTTCCTCCAAAAAAGCGAGTACTAAACATATGATCATTAATAAACATGTTGAAATATTTTTTAAAAAGATCTAGGCTTCCAACCATGTACATTCATGTCACCTTAGCAACCACTTTATCTAAAAGTTTCCTCATCAGTAAAATGGGGATAATGTGTATCTTACAGGGTTGTTATGATGAGTAAAATATTATTTGGGGTAAATTCTGACATATAGTTTAAACTCAGTAACTATAGCTTTTTTCTTTTTCTCTAACTTATCTAAATGGGAGCTCAAAAACAAACCAAAGGATCTCAGAAAGAGTAGGTTCCCTGGGATGATTCCTAAGAGTAGCTGCTTGTAAGAAACAGGTTTGCCAAGCCATTTTCCTTCATGATACATATCTGAGTTCTCAAATGAGCTAGTCCAGTCAAAATTCTTTAGGACTTGTGACTATGAAGTAGTTTGACCAAAATTACAAGTAAATATATCAAAACCTATCCATCTAAGTACTTTTCCATTCAAAATATTTACCCTGAAAGACTAAATAGTTATTCCAAAAATGCTTTCATGCTTAAAACATCTCTGGGACTCCTCTTCTAGAGTAGCTCTTGGAGTCTATGGCACATTCTTAAAAACATCCTTAAGTTGGCAAATACTCATCTTTCCAGGAAATTTTGAGTTTTGAAAAGAGCTGCCAGTTATTCAGAGCCCAGTCTAGTAAATATGGTAGATGATTAACCAGGTTAACATTTTGGGTTAATAAGATGCAATTCTAATAAATCAGTAATTATTTTGGTGCAGCTCATAAATTGGCCTTGATAGTGTTATATATTAAGGTTAAGTAAAGGTAGCATGGTCATAGTAGACATTAAAGCCCACTTTAGTGGGTTTATGATGTGAATTAATTCAGATAGCACTGGGAGTCATTACATATTTAAATAGTATTAAATGTTTCTTTTTATGAAAATCGTAATTATGACATTGTCTGAAATCTTATTTCATAGTATTAAAATAAAGGCTTTAAGGAAAAGCATTAAATGCTAATGAAAGCTTTATTATTTCAGTATATATTCTCCTGGGCCTTTGGTCAAGATAAGTAATGATCAGATGAGTGAGTTGGCAACCTTCCTGGCCTCTGCAGTCTACTAGTAATTGAAGGCTATGTAACACACTCACATGTTTAAATACATTAAGTAATATTCCACCAACTTCTCCCTATCTTTTGCTTTTTGGACAATGAAATACCATGGCATCTTAATACAGATGAAAAAAGCTAGCTTTTTGTTGGAAGAATTTCTGAAAAGTCATTCTTACTCAAGCAGGTGGGAGTCACTGTTTGCCTCCATCACATTAACTTCCTCAAGGGTGTCTGCTTCTCATTCTCCAGGGACTTTCTGATTTACATGTTCTCCATCAACTCCAGTTTCCATGACCTGATTCATGTTGCTTTTCCTTTTCTTTCTCTTTTTTGGTACTTCAATGATCCATTGTTCAGACTCAGAACCACAGAACCTAGTGTTTGAGCAGGCAGTCACTGCAATTCACAGGTAACTAGTGGAAATACATAACTGAATGAGGGGCTGCAGCCTCAGTAAGGTTTTGTTGTTGTCTACATTCCAAAACCCTGAAAAGAATTTTCTTGAAGGCAGAGGATTCTTTATGGGAATTATTTATAGGATTTTAGAAGATTCTTTATAGGACTTTAGGGGAATCTTTAAAGGATTCCCCTAAAAAGACCTGGTTTAGGGACAGATGTGAAAACATTTGAAAAACACAAATTTTTCCTTCCCCCTCCACCCCAAAAACTTTGGCTTTTGCAAAAACTTTGAAATGAGCAGAAACTGTTTTGTTTTGTTTTTTTTTGCAGAAACTGTTTTGGATTAATACTCTAGAACTATCAAGGCCTTCATGTGACTACTTGGTCTTTACATTCTACAAATACTATCTAAAAATAAATGTAAGCTCCAAGATTACAGGGAATCTTGTCCTATTTACTACTGTATCCTGAGTGGCTAGCATGGTGCCCAGGCTTTCTTAAGTGCCTCAAGGCTACCTGCTAAGTGAATATATGCTGTTCAAAGATTTTACTGTCTGAAATCTAGTCTCTTTTGCAGTTCTTCCTATAGTTCTCCTGCTACTACAGTGTACTGAGACTAGGGTGGTCCTGTTGGATGTCCCTATCATTTTCTCCAGATGGCTTCATTTCCTAAGTCATGTAGAATTCACCCCTTCTTTAAGGAAGACCTCAAAGGGTCACTTACAACACTTTCTACCCTTTCTCACTGTCTATCATCTACTAGTCTCCTGCTCATTCTGCAGTACTTCGTAAGTGTACCTCCTATCATCACCTGAAGGAATAAAGATGACACATCCACTTACTCGCCCCACCCCTTCACCCTTCTTTTGACTTCAATAACCACCAAAACAACTCCAGGATGCTACTCCTACAACTATATCCTTGGCTATTGGTAGCATGGCATAATAATACTAATTAAACTGCTAATATTTGAGGGTTTATTGTATTCAGTACCACACAGGCCTTATCTCATTTAAACTTTCCAATAACTCCATGAAGACATTAAGGCATAGAGGCTTAAATAAATTTCTAAACATTGCTCAGCTCAGGAGCGGTAGAGCTCTAATATTAATCCAGATCAGCTGCCGCCCTAACCTGTGCTCCTAACAGTGCACTGGGATGAAAAGAATCAAGATTTACCCTACCTCTGCCACAGAGACTTTTTGATTTTGAGCAAAATAAAAACCTCTCCAAACCTGTTTTCTAATGCATAAAATGCTGAAAAGAATAAAGAAAATAATGTATGTTAGGTGCTTAGCACAGTGTCAGACATACCACAAATGTTCCATCCATCCTACCAGCACCTACTCATTGAGCACCTCCTAAACATCCAATGCTGTGATAGGTACTGAAGATACAACACTGAATAAGACCAAAAAGGTCCCTGCCTTCACAGATCTGCACAGCTCAATAAGTGCTAAGTATATGATAAATGGAAAAAAGCCTCCACTCAGTCACAGTTATTTTGCTATAAAGCAATCTAATGAGAACACTTTACTGCTTAAAATCCTTCAGGAATTCCTCACTGTAGAAGACATAAAATCCGAATCTTTTTATTATTATTTTTTTATAAATTAATTTTTATTGGTGTTCAATTTACCAACATACAGAATAACACCCAGTGCTCATCCCGTCAAGTGTCCCCCTCCGTGCCTATCACCCATTCACCCCCACCCCCCGCCCTCCTCCCCTTCCACCACCCCTAGTTCATTTCCCAGAGTTAGAAGTCTTTATGTTCTGTGTCCCTTATTATTATTTTTTAAAGTAGGCTCCATACCCAATGTGGGGCTTGAACTTCCCATCTGGAGAGCCAGAGTTGCATGTTCTACTGACTGAACCACCCAGGTGCCCCAATCTAAATTTCTGAACACCGTATTTGAGAATAGCAATAGGTATGTGGTTCAGTTCCCCTTGCCACCAGCTCACCATTAAGCAGTGAAGCCCTTTCTCCGTATGCGAGCTATCTGGAAGCTTGAATTAAAAACCAGGTCATTGTAGACCAATTCTGTTACCAGCATGAGAACTAGAGTCACCAGTTTGGTATCCTAACCCCTTCCCACCAACTACTCATTCACTCATTCATACACAGACACCTGCAGCTCTTTTATGGCAATGACCTACTAGGTTCTGTCAAACCCTGAAAACCAAAGCTTTAAATCTGGGTGTTTCTAACTGTAGGACACAACCCATCAGGAGATTATGAAATCAAGTTAGTGGTTGGAATCAGTGATTCGGACAACAGAAACAAAGAATATATCAATGAACTAACAGCTAAGCTTGGTATATAAAACCTGTTATAGGGGCACCTGGGTGGCTAAGTCGCTTAAATGACCGACTGACTCTTGGTCTCGGGCTGGGTCATGATCTCGGGGGTCCTGGGATCGTACCCTACATTTGGCTCAGTGCTGATCATGGAGTCTCTTGTCCCTCTCCCTCTGCTCCTCCTTCTGCTCTAATAAAATCTTTAAAAAAATAAAAATAAAATCTGTTATAAATGCACATACAACACACTTACGTACTGAGTCATCATATAAACTGCATTTCTTAACATGGACCATGGTCAAAATGGTTTGAAAGCCATGATTTCACATGCTCTGTGTAGCCTCAGTTCCTTCCACATTTCCTAAGTTACACAAAATCCCATATGTATCAAGCCACTTGAAACTCCCCAAACCACCTTTCTTTTTCACTGCTTGCCTGTAAGTGTATAAGCCAGTTATGGTACTAGGCACTAGGAATATGGTTGAAAGAAAATCCATAGTCTTGCCCACACAAAACTTAAAAATCTAGACAAAATGTTATACTAATCAAATTAATTAACATCTGTGAACCAAAGTAAATAGTCTAAATGAAACAAATATAGACTTTTAAGAACATTTATCAAGGGCAATCAGTCTAGGGGACAAGGGAGGCATCCCTGAGGAGCATCAATTAGCAGAGATCTAAATGTCAGTTACCTAGGTACAAGGGTACAGAAGAGCAATGCAGACATAACAGAAGTTAAGTGGCCCTAGAGTGAAAGATGGTGTAGCATATTTGAAGAACTGAAAAAAACAGGCCAGCATACTAGAGCCTGACAGGAAGCGGGAGTGATAAAAGGCAGGATGGGAAAAGGTGGCTGTGGCTAGACCAGGTAGGGCCAGGATTTGGTTTTCTGTCCTCAGAGTACTAGGAAGCCACAGGATGATTTAAATAGGAGGTGATGAAAGAGAAGCTGTGAAGACACTATGTCTGCAGTATGGAGGATGGACTGGATGGAGGGCAAGATGACTGCAGTGGAGACCAGCTGGGAAGTCAGTAGAATAGTCTAGGGTGGGTGTTGACAGCTAACTGATTTACTATATGGGAAATTGGGGGAGGGGATGGAGGGTAAGTGTATGAAATAGAGGCTGACTCCTAGGTTCCAGCTTCCACAACTGGATAGATGGTGCTGCCAGCCGAGAGAACAAACTGGAAAAGACCTAGTTTGGAGAAGACTATGCATTCAGTCTTAAATAAGCTTCACTTAAGGTGACTGAGTTGGATATGTATCCTGGCTAAGTCGTGGGTATATAAATGGTAAATGAAATGTGACCCACAAGAGTGAGGTAAATGCCTGGGGCTGAGCCCTGAAGGCCTCTCCATTTCTAAGTGTTGTATTCCTACCTATTATAATTGTGTATGAGTACACATAGGTAAGTACACAATTATATCTGCTTCAAAGGTCACATATATAAATAATAAAATGTGAAAGTCTGCTCGCTTCAACAATTAGTATTAAAAATTTGATGTGTACCCTTATATGTTTTTAAAAATGAGATCAGGCTATACACAATTTTCTACAATCTGCTTTTTTTTTTTTTAAAGATTTTATTTATTCATTCATGAGACCCAGAGAGAGGCAGAGACATAGGCAGAGGGAGAAGGAGGCTCCCTGCAGGGAGCCTGACGTGGAATTCAACGTGGGACTCGATCCCAGGACCTTGGGATCATGCCCTAAGCTAAAGGCAAACGCTCAACCACTGAGCCACCCAGGTACCCCTCTACAATCTGCTTTTTAAAGTCAGTAATGTAGTGAAAATATTCATTATCAGAATTTGTTAATTCTAACTTACACATCTGAATGGCTTCAAAGTATTTCACGGTAGGACTGCAAAACAATTTAACCAATCCCACAGAATTCCCAGGGATAGAGAATTGGCTTATCTGGCACCCAGTTACCTGTCCATTCACTATTCACTATATCACTATTCCCTTTCTGCATTATTCACTAAACCCTAATTTTGTTCCAAAAGCAACATGCTCAGCCTCAGGTGATGGCTCATGATGGGCTTAAGCTAAGTGAAACTATACTGTTGCCCACCTTTTCAACTTCCCTTGCAGTGATGGGTGGTCATGTTAAGGACCCTAAGGAGAAGTTTGCTATCAGAGTTTCTAAGTAAGCTCCTGCTTTCCTGCCAAAACAGAACTAACACAAATACTGCTCTCTTTTTTTCCTTTTCTTTCCTTTTTGGACATGAATATAATGACAAGAGTTTCAAGTCATTTGCAACTATAAGGCCATAAATCAACACCATGATTAGTAAAAACAGAAAGGCAGAGAGAAAGCCTGGGCTCTGATACACATAGACACACACAGAAACACTAACTCATTTTATAGAATTCAAATATAGATTACCACCTTAAAGTGTAAAAGAGTAAAACGAAGTGTTTTGGATTAAAGATTCAGAGCAGAGATATAAGTGATGCTCTACAAAAATAAGAAGCACACTTAAAACAAGATGATAGGGAAACACTGAGAACACGGTCTTGGGTCCAGAAATGCCTGCTGGCTCTCTACCAAGTACATCCCTCTGTCCCACAACCTGATGGGATAGCCTTTCTATATAATCTCTGACACCGCTTGCTTTCCCTTGTTTGAGATTTCGATCTTCTTTTGGGTGCTCTTAGAAAATGTACCAAATTAAGACATAATCTCTTACACAAAAAGTTGGAAGGTGTCTGATTTGGGTGAGCCATTAATTTTCATAAGTTCACAACTAAAATAAAAATAAATCATCAGAAGTAAAAACTTTTAAAAGTGGGGAGGGGGGCAGTGGTGCAGCATCTGGGCGGCTCAAGTTGGGTGTCAGACTTCAGCTTGGGTTATGATCCATGGGCCCTGGGGTCGACACCACATCAGGCTCTACACCATCCCTCTTCCTTTCCCTCTGCCCCACCTCCTGCTGGTGCATGCATGCATAAATAAAATCTTAAAAAAAAATAAAACCAGGGAGAAAAATCCTTTTTGATAAACAGTGCTACCTAGCTATTTAATCCTAGAAACAATTTGTTATTTTACTTTAATGACGGTTTCTTCCATACTCAAATTTTGCCAGCTTCTCATGCTTTGGCAAAAATGAAAGACATTATAGATTTCCTAAAATTCAGCAACCTGTAGCTCCACTTAAAAATAAACTCATAAAGGCTACCACAATAGTAAATTTATACTGTGTTGATAATTATTTAAAATATGAGACACAAAACAATTTTATGTGTAATCCAAATTGTACATAATTCACACCTCTGCTTCTAAACAAATAGAAGCTCACATCTCTGTACTACTTTTACAGTTTACAAAGTGCTTTTATATACATTTTCTCATTTTCTACTCAAAACAGACATGAGAGATAAATACTATTCTTATTTCACAAATGGAAATAGACCCAGACATTATTCAGTCCTTTAACCACCATATAGTATAGCCCTGAGACTTTAGATCTGCAAAGGGTTTTTTAATAATGCAAATATCATATATATTTCAATTTTTATCACCATTTTCAAGTCTCCATTTTCTTAACAAAAGAAAGCAATGAAAAAGTTTTCCACAATCTAATAATAAAAATGGGAAATATTATATACACAGTTGTATACTTTACTCAGTGAATGAAATCTACCACAATTCTAATTTGGGCCTCCTATATTGTTATCTATATACAGGGCACCAGTACTAGAACCACATGTAAATGACTACATTTCATTCTAAAGCAGAAAAAAAAACAAAAACAAAAACGCAGAACACTTCTGTTGCCTTCAAATCTAATGTACATATAGAAGTGTTAGGGTGTGTAGGTGGCTATGAAGGATACAGAAAATTACTTTTTGCAGTTTTGGAATTATAGGGCCTCTGATTATCCCAGCTTAGACTTTAAGGGTCTTGACAATCTGGTCATATGTCTTATCTTTAGTACTAAACTTATCTTTCTTTCCCCACCACCCCTTTTCTTCCTAAGTACTCCAAACCATTCAGAGTAGAAATTCCAACAAGTAGCCTTTATTTCTGAATTGTCTTCCTCATTGTATAATTTTTTTCAAAATTTTCTTTTCCTATTTCTCAACCTTAAAGACATTTCTTTATAGTAGATGAGGGAGCTATAGCTTATATTCCCTGCCAGAAAAAAAAGTCAGTTCCAACATAATTTCCCTGCAAAAAGCTAAGAAAAAAGTTGAACAAAAAGGAAGAGAACAGTGATAACCGGCAGAGTAGTGACATCTGCACTCAGAAAGCTGCACTGCAGTTCTCCAATATTTAAAGTAATGCTATTGTTACTGCTCTGCCAATTTAAGGAAAATTCTGGCTGGTCCTGAGTTCAAAGCAGACCAATATGCTTAAAACATTGGTTCAATGAATCACTCTTTTTGATGTTATAATTATAATGGTTTTATTGCATTTGAAGACATTTTCAATAAATATCTTGTGTTTGAGGCCTTGGCTAGGCAATCCTCTTGCAGTAGAAATCAGATTTCTCTGGCACAACTCCATTGCCAGCAATGGGATTTATCAAAACTATAAATGCCAGCACATGGAATATTTCAATACTGTACTCAATTGCTCATATCTAAATATTTCAGCTATAAAACAAACCAGATGTAAATGCTTTATAGTACAAATCAACAAATTCTTCACAGAAGAAAACAATGAAAGACTAATTTTCCATAATATATCACTTATTCATTAGTTCTTCAGTAATAGTACTTAGAATATTTCAAGAATAATAAAAGTTATGCACCACTATCCCTGTTTTCTCAAGCTTTTTTATCTAAGTTCTAAAGACATAAACAATGATGCATTTAATCAGACTTATTTTTATAAATTTTTGATGTTTCTCTTATATATCTATAATAATGAATATATGAAGACACAAATGTACATTTAAATCATTACTGGTTATATGAAATTTGCCTATATAGGTCTTATAAACAAGATAAAAATAACAAAGTCTGATAAGCTCAGCCGTGCCCTGTGAACTTTAGTCTGCTCACAGCATAACCTAATTCAATTATTATTATTTAAAAAAATGTTTTTTTAAAAGCTGCAAACCAGTTTATTACACATTTCAGAATCATGAGGGGGTATATTATAATACAGTTCCCTCAGGCAACAGACCCTTCAGAGGGAAAAGTTCTGCAATAAAATACGAATTTCCAAACTCTTTTTTAAAAAAAGCTTGAATTGTGTTCTATGACTGACCTTCACTCTATGGTCCCTTTGACCCAAGGGACGGTCCCTGGGACATCTTTTTGAGATTTAGCTTCTGTGAAGTTTTCAGCAAACCTCTCTCGCGCTTTCTCCCAGTTCTTTTTGCTCTTGTTTTGGAGAAGGTGAACATCTTCAATCGAGGATGGTTTGCCGGTCCCCAAGCCTGCATGTGTTCGCCGAAGCTGAAGCTGGATCTGTTACCAAAGGTTAAGCAGAAAACTTACTGTAGAGACTAAATACATTGAAATTTGCTGTATCCAACCTGGTACTTTCACTCTTTGATTTAGAAAGACTGATGTAAAAGAAAAACCTGTCAAATCCATCGAATACATGCAGGAATACATAGGATTATACACAAAACTTCAAGTCATCCTTCTACATTGTCTTGTCTATCCATAAGTATAGCTGACTGTACAGAGAACAGTATACTCTAAATAGTGATCACCGAATTTCACTGAGATGCCGCAGAGGTTGCCCACCCTAACCAGAAGAAAAGGCAATGTACATACTTAAACCTAATGCTGCCCTAGCCTTGCCTAAGAAAGTGAAAGGGTAGATTAAACATTAAGTCATAAAGACAGGGGTGCCTGAGTGGCTCAGTCAGTTAAGCAACCAACTCCTGGTTTTGGCTCAGGTTATGATCTCATGGGTCATGGGACTGAGCCCTGCATCAAGCTTTGTGAGACACAAAGCATGTACACACACACGCTCTAAAATAAATAAATCAGGGGCGCCTGGGTGGCTGAGTGGGTTGGGCGTCTGCCTTTGGCTCAGGTCATGATTCCAGGGTCTCCCAGGGTTCCAGGATTGAGCCCCATGTCTGGCTCCCTGCACAGCAGGGAGCCTGTTTCTTCCTCTGTCCCTCCCCCTGCTCACTCTCTCTCAAATAAATAAAATCCTTAAAAAAAAAATAAGTAAAATAAGTCAATCCTAAGGGAAAAAAAAAAAAGAATCATAAAGAGAATTTGATTATTTTCATAATAAGTGGGGGAAGACTTCTCATTATTTTGAGAACCATTAAAAGTTACCAGTAACTGAGTGCCAACTGTATGTTGGGCACCATACTAGGAGCTTTACCTTCATGATATCCCTTAGAAAACAGTTCTTATAATCTCCATTTTTACTATGAAAACTTAAGTCCAAACCTGCCCTAAGTCACACAACAAGTGACAGAGCCCTATTCTAACAAAGTAATTCTATTTTGTAGATTTGACTATAAAACCCATGTTCTTCTCACTATACCTCAATAAGAAAGAAAATTCACATTAAACCTCACATTGATCCATTCATTATTACTTAGGTATTAGGTGATTATCAAGAAAGCTCTTTAATCATGTTAGTTTGTAAGGTTTTTGTAAAAGATCATCTAAACCTCTGATGAACCATGGAGACTACAGAATTAACCACTGTATCATTTTCCAGACATTATTCCTTCCTCTACTGCTTGTTACATGACCTGATTCTTAAATCTAAAACGGATTATCCAGCTAATACAGAATCTGCCTGTTTGTAAAGTCTCCCTGGATGGCTCAGTTGGTTAAGCATCTGACTCTTGATTTTGGCTCAGGTCATGACCTCATGGTTCTTAAATCAAGCCCCACACAAGGCTACATACTTGGTGAGGACTTTGCTTGAGATTCTCTTTCTTCCTCTCCCTCTGTTCATCCCCGGCACACATGTGTGCACGTGCACTCTCACTAAAATAAATAAATAAAATCTTAAAAAAAAAAAAAAAAGGGACTCCTGGGTCGCTCGGTCTGTTGAGCATCTTCCTTTCGCTTGGGTCATGATCTCTGGGTCCTGAAATCGAGCCCCAAGTCAGGCTCCCTGCTCAGCAGGAAGTCTGCTTCTCCCTCCCCCTCTGCCCACCCTCCACTCATGCTCTCTCTCTCTCTCAAATAAATGAAGTGTTTAAAAAATAAAATAACACTGTGATTGTTCTTGCAATATTTAGTACCAGATATAGCATGGAAATTATTAATAACAACTAAAAGAAACAGAAGAACCTCAGGCTCAAGAAATGGCATTTATTATCCTAGCTTCAACGAAGGAAAAAATGTTAAGAGCCTTCCAAAAAATGTTAAAAACAAAACAATGCATGGGGCGCCTGGTGGTTCAGTGGCTTAAACATCCAACTCTTGATTTTGGCTCTGGTCATAACCAAGGTCATGGGATAGAGCCCCACATCGTCAGGCTCCCTGCTCAGCGAGGAGTCTGCTGGTCTCCCTTTCCCTCTGCTCCTCCTCCTGCTTAAGCTCTTGCTCACTCTCTCTTAAATGAGTAAATCTTTAAAAAACAAAAACAAAAACAAAAAACCCCCCACAAAACAATGCATATGTGTGTGTGTGTGTGTGTGTTTCCCACATATTATGTATATATATTACCACAAATATATATATTTGGTAATAGTGAATGTCACATAGACAGTAATCATGTCCGCCTGTGTTTAATACCATATTCCTGGCACATAAGGTAAACAGTAAATACATTTGCTGTAAGAATAAAGAATGAAAGAAAACATGTCTTACCGGAATTTTCATTCCTCCACCGTCCTTCCCTAGGCCCTCTCCTTTTTTCCAGCCCATCTTCTCCAACATCTTCCGACCTTTGTTGCTATCAGTAATTTCACTTTAAAGAAAATTGAGTGATAATTGATTTCTAAAAGACTATATAGGTTACATTTACAATAAATTAATCAAAAGTATATAGAAAACTGTCATTGCCTAATAAAGATACACAAATTCTCCTACATATACTACTTAACAGAAAAGCACATTTTATTGCACCAAAGACACATGCAAGAATGTTTCTGCAGCAAATCTTATAATATCTACAAGCTGGAAATAACCCAGATATCTATCAATGGTAAATATATAAATAAACTGTGGCATATTCACATAAGGGATTATTATACAGCACTGAAAATAAAATATACCTGTTTTGCCCAAGATTGCGAATCTGAGAAACCACTGAGGAGCCAATACCGATGCAAACACACAAGGGTTTATTTACAAGCTCGAGCCTGGGTCCAAGTATACCCGACACAGCGGAGCAGGGACTTGGACACCGAGACTAAGAGGCGTAGCAACTTTATAGGGGCCAGTGGCCAATGGGATACGCAGAAAGTTGCACAGTCATGCTGGTCCACTTGCAGGTGGCCGACTGAATTACATTTTACCCTAAAGTATCCATTTGAACTGGCATATCACTGAGCTGATTTCCGATTAGGGTGTGCCCTGGGCTTGACTATGGTGGGGCAGTGCCCTAAGCAGGTTGGCACAAGGCGGGTACAGCACAAAATGGAGTCAGTCCTGCTCTGCTTGTCCAGGGGTAGGGGATTTTTGTTAAATTTCCTGGGTCCCACATACCAAACAAAATAATGTTGTACGAAAAGATTATAGACACAAAATAAATACTGAATTATTCCATTTATTTAAAATTAAAAACAAACTAAATTAATCTGTTCCCACTGGAAGTCAGGAAAGGGGTTGCCTTTTGGGAAGACACAAGAATAGTGATCAAGAGGGGGCACTGGGAGGGTAGGTTCCTGGGGGTTACTGATCATTTTCTATTTCTTCACCAAGAGTGTGTATTCTACAATGGGTTTATCTTATGATATATTATTGATACTGATGCTTTTATTGGTGTACTTTTCTGTATATAAGTTATACATCAATAAAAAAACAAAATGAAATAAAAATTCTCATTCACTATTTGCATTTTGTTCTAGATTTTATGTTCTGCTATTTTAAGGATATTTTATGTTCCATCACCCTGTATTTTCAGTTCTAAAAATGTTAAATTAGCTCTTCAAATAACAATAAGCCAAGCAGTGTCAGACCAATGTATTTCATTTTTTATTTATGCCTTCTAATTTAACTCTAATGCAATCATGTTTTCCAGTAATTACATCAAAAGGTTTGAAAAAAATTTGTCATGCTGCTTAGTGTATCTAATTCATAATGCTGTATTTCATCAAAGCTGACGAATGTAAGATGCACTGTTTTATGTACCATTAAGAAAAAATTTCCGTCATACCTAAAACTCTATCCAAGTAGTATATCTTAGAATTAATAAAATACATCTAATCAAAGTTTATGATTAGTTGTCAGTCTTACACAAAAAAATTCTAACTAAACTCTGAATTTATATTCTGAGAAAAAAATGTAGCTAACATATAATTAAATGCAGAAAAATGGTCATATTGTATGGGCCTCAAAATTATATTTTTCAGGTTATCAGTGCCACTTTACCAAAAGGAAAAAACTGAATCAAAGAAAAATAGTATTTCAGAGTCAACAAGAACATAGGTGAGTACTGAAATAATTATAAAAAGATCGCAGTCCCCCACCCCCTCAAAAAAACAAAAGAAAAAATAGTCCCTATTAATTTCTTACTAGCCCAACATTCTAGATATCTAATATATAAAAATATGTTCACTCAGAGGCACCTGGGTGGCTCAGCTGGTTAAGTGTCTGACTCCAGATTTCAGTTCAGGTCATGATCTTGGAGTTGTGAGATTGCGCCCCACATCAAACTCTGCACTGAGCATGGAGCTTGCTTGATATTATCTCCCTCTTCCTCTCCCTCCCCCTGCTTGCATGTGCTCTCTTAAAAAAAATGTTCGCTCAAGTGGGCTAGAACATTAGCATGTATACATATATCTAAGTATATAGAAAATGGAATTCTAATATTAGAGAAAAATGTAACTTAGATACAGTATTTCCATACTTTTATGAACCATTCCTTTAAAGGCTACTTATCAGAATATATAGTCCTATAAGTCTTATCACTCTACAAACGTGATTAGGGTACAAAGAATGTATTGAGCAATTAAAATTTAATACTTACAAATGAACAGATGCAGGAGCATCATCTCTTTGGAAAGTCCCTTCACTTCCAATCTGCTCCCTCCGTTTTCCAGCTCTATCTTTGTATTTTGGATTCTTCAATGCCTTTTCATCTTCATAGTCTGTATTCTTTATAAACATGAAATATTCATTGAAGAAAATTAAAGTGATACATAAAATGTACTGTCTGTATATTTGCTTTACTTGGCAGATAGGGTTCAATGTGGGCTCTATTAAAACAACAAATTAAAATACACCATGATATAAATTAAGATAATTATATTAGAGTATGCTATTTTCATTCTATCTCCTTTAAAATGTTTATATTACTTCAAACTGTAGAACATAAACCATATATAGAAGATAAATCACATATAAATTGTAATGTGTAATCATAAAAAAATAATAGAGTGAAAATATAGTACAGTTTGACTTAATACTGTGTCTCATATTCTTGTGAACTGCCAGTATTCAAAGAAATATGTAGAACCCCTGAGTTTGGCAAAAAATCTACTCTTCTCTAAGAAACTAAAAGTTCCAACAGACCTAAAATAGTTTGGTGTTATTCCTTAGGAGAGAAAAATGTATAAAGTGCTTTAAAAATGGAAAAGGGCAGGTACTCTCTTACTATGGAAATTATAATAGTTTTTTGCCTCAATGTAACTCCATTTATAGGATTAGTCAGCCACTCAAGAAATATTTACTGAATAACAAGTGTGTATGCAGAGAAACTTGTAATCCCAGAAGGTAGACACATCTGACCTTCAACATGTTACTATCTGACTGGTTCAACAAGAAAAGTAAGCACAAGATGCAGCAGTGGCCCAAAAGAAAGCAGTCAATTTAGCTTGGGGCTTCAGAGAAGGCTTCTCTTTCCCTTTTTTATGACTTGTTGATCTTTATATAAATTATGACATTCACTGAAAGATGTTAGGGAATGCTAATACAATTCCGGGAAGTACCACAGAAGTTTTTACTTAATTTGTATCTTAAACGGAGAAGAAAATAAAGAACCACCAACCCTAATGGGCTTTCCTCCAAAAGATGAGAGAGTTAAAACTTTAAGAAAACATTTTATTCTCACCTGAATATCTTCTATTTTCCTCCCAAATTAGTCCCTTAACATTTTTTCTATTATGATTACTTGTAGTGTGAAAAATCACAAAAAATACAATTTTACAGAAAAATGTTACTTCGGCAGCATTTTTCCAACATCTTCATGAAGCATAAAAACTGCTGGACAAATCCACATTAAGAACTCTAGAGTCCAGGGATGCTTGGGTGGCTTAGTGGTTGAATGTCTGCCTTTGGCTCAGGGTGTGATCCCGGTTTGGGGATCGAGTTCTGCATCAGGGTCCCTAGGAGCCTGCTTCTCCCACTATCTCTCTGCCTCTCTTTCTGTGTCTCTCATGAATGAATGAATGAATGAATAAATAAATAAATAAATAAATAAATAAATAAATAAATAAATAAATAAATAAATAAATAAATAAATAAATAAATAAATAAATAAAATCTTAAAAAAAAAAAAAAGGAACTAGATTCCAGGGGCATCTGGCTGGCTCAGTCAGAGAAGCATGCAACTCTTGATCTCGGGATTGTGAGTTCAAGCCTCACACTTGCTGTAGAGATCACTTAAATAAACCAAAAAAACACCTGGATTCCATATCTAATTCTGTCATTTATCAGCTGAGTGATCCTTATCTTAGTTTCTCAAATGTAAACTGGAAATATTACCTACCTGGTCTACTGACAGGACTAAATGGTAACCCTTTTTTAAACTGTTGTGATATAATTAAGATATAATAAACTACAGGGACGCCTGGGTGGCTCAGTGGTTGAGTGCTTGCCTCTGGCCCAGGGCGTGATCCTGGGGACCCAGGACTGAGTCCTGCATCGGGCTCCCTGCATAGAGCCTGCTTCTCTCTCTCTGCCTCTCTCTCTATGTCTCTCATGAATAAATAAAATCTTTAAAATATATATATAATAAACTACATATAAAGTATGTAATTTACCTCTGAGATTTGTAAACATCTATGAAACCATCACCACAATCAAGAGAGTAAATATATGCATCTCCCACAAAAGTATCTTCATCCTTCTTTGTAATCCATCCCTACAGAGCCGAACTTGCATCCTTCCTCTCTGGTATCCAGGCTACCCACTAATCTTTCTGTCACAATATGTTAGTTTCCTCTCCTAGACTTTGATGTAAATGGATGTATATACAATGCATACTCTTGATGTATGGCTTCTCTCAGCCTAAGTATTTTGAGGTTTATCCATATTCCAACCTGTATCATTATCCATGTTCCAACCTGTATCAATAGCTCATGCTTTTTCTATGCTAAAGAGTATTTGACCATATAGATTTACCATAATTTGTTTATCCATTCATGATAGATACGTGAGTTTTTTCCTATTTCTGGTTACTAGAAAAAAAGCTGTTAATACCATAATGAAATATCACTTTCACACCGATGAGAGCGGGTAGTATGCAAAAGACAAGAATAAACAAGTGTTGGTAAGGATGTGGAGAAAAGTGAATCCTTGGGTACTGTTGGTGAGAACGTAAATTAGTGCAACTACATGGAAAACAGAATGGAAGTTCCTCAAAAACTTAAAAAAGAAAATACCACAGGATCCAGGAATTCCACTACTGTGTGTATTTGCCCAAAGAAAATGAAAACACTAATTTGAAAAGATATATGCACTCCTATGTTTACCAGAGCATTATTTACAATAGCTCAGATATGGAAGCAGCCCTTGTGTCCATCAAGAGATGAATGGATAAAGATGTGGTGTGCACACGTACAATGGATTATTACTCAGTCATAAAAAATGAGATCTTGCCCTTTGTGAGAACATGGATGGACCAAGAGTTAGTATGCTAATTGAAATTAAGTCAGACAGAAAAATGCAATGTAACTTCACTTGTATATATAGAATCTGAAAAACAAAACAAAACAAGCAAAAATTAGAAACAGACTTATGAATACAGAAAACAAGGTGGTAGCTGCTAAAGGGGTGGAGAGGTGGAGGGTGGACAAAATAGGTGAAGGAGGTACAAACTTACAGTCATAAGTCACAGATAAAAACTATAGCATAGGGAATATAGTCTATAATATTTTAATAACATTATATGGTGACAGACTTATTGTAAGGATCATGTAATGTATAGAATTATCAAATCACTATGCTTCCCATCTAAAACTGATGTAACATTGTATGGTAACTACATTTTGATCATAAAAAATAAAATTTTTAAAAAAAGGTTTTCCAAAGAAAGAAAAAAAGCTGTCACGAACATTTGTTTATAAGTCTTCGTATGAACATATGGTTTCATTTCTCTTGTGTAAATACCTTGGCGTAGAAAGGTGAATCACATGGCAGGCATACATTTAACTTTTAAGGAAACTACTATTTTCCCAAGCAATTGCATCACTTTACATTCTCACCAAAAGTATATGAGAATTCTAATTCCTTCACATGCCTACCAACACTTGACAGGGATTGTCTTTTTACCTAGTTCTAATTTGCAATTCCCTGGTAATACTGGACATCTTTTCATGTGTTTAGCTTCCATCTATCTGTACAGCTGCATTGGTAAAGTGTCTATTCAAATCTTTTGTTCACTTTTAAATTATTTTCTTATTAATGGACAGAAGACATGAATAGACATTTTTCCAAAACAGAAATCCAGATGGCTAACAGACACATGAAAAGATGCTCAACATCACTCATCGTCAGGGAACTACAAATCAAACAATGAGATACCACCTCCCACCTGTGCAAACAACTAAAATTAATACAGGAAACAACAGATGTTGGTGAGGATATACAGAAAAGGGAAACCCTCTAACACTGTTGGTGGGAATGCAAACTGGTGCAGCCACTCTGGAAAATGGTATAGAGATTCCTCAAAAAGTTAAAAATAGAACTACCTTATGACCCAGCAATTGCACTACTAGGTATTTACCCAAAGGATACAAAAATACAGATTCGAAGGGATACATGTACCCTCAATGTTTATAGCAGCATTACCAACAATAGTCGAACTATGAAAAGAGCCCAAGTATCCATCAACAGATGAATGGATAAAGAAGAGGTGGTAGAGGGATCCCTGGGTGGCGCAGCGGTTTGGCGCCTGCCTTTGGCCCAGGGCACGATCCTGGAGACCCAGGATCGAATCCCACGTCGGGCTACCGGTGCATGGAGCCTGCTTCTCCCTCTGCCTGTGTCTCTGCCTCCCTCTCTCTCTCTCTGTGACTATCATAAATAAATAAAAAAAAAAAAAAAAAAAGAAGAGGTGGTAGATATATACAATGGAGTATTACTAAGCCATCAAAAATAATGAAATCTTCCCATTTGCAGCGACGTGAATGGAACTAGAGTATATTATGCTAAGTGAACTCAGATAAAGATAAAAATACCATATGATTTCATTTATGTGGAATTTATGAAGCAGATGACTATATGGAAAGGAAGAAAAGACAGAAGTAAACCATATGAGGCTCAACAACAGAACAAACGGAGGGCTGATGGAGGGAGGTGGGTAAGCAATGGGTTAAACAGGTATTGGGTATTAAGGAGGACACTTAGGACAAGCACTGGTTTAATCACTAAATTCTACTCCTGAAACCATTATTACACCATATGTTAACTAGAATTTAAATAAAATTCTGAAAAATAAGAAATGAATAAATAAATAAAAATAAATTGCTTCCTTAATGAGTTTTAGGATTTCTTTATAAAGTCCAGATATAAGATCTATGATTTTTGTCAGATATAGGATTTATAAATATTTTCCCAAGTCTGTGGCTTATCTTTTCATTCTCTTTTTGTTTTTAAGTAGGTTCTATGCTCAGTGTAGAGCCAATGAGGGGCTTGAACTCACCACCCTGATCAAGACCTGAGCTGAGATTGAAAGTAGGATGCTCAACCAACTGAGCCACTCAGGCGCCCCACATCTTTTCATTCTCTTAATAGTGTCCTTGGAAGAACAGAAGTTTTGGAGGAAGTGTTATTTATTACTTTGCTCTTTTATGGATTCTGCTTTGGTATTTGATATCTTTAAAAAACAACCTGTATCTAACTTTTTAAAAAGGTTTGCTTCTAGAAACTTTATGAAGTTTTAAATTTATATTTATGATCCATTTTGAGTTCATTTTTATACATGTTACAAGGTATAGATCAAAGTTCTTTTGTTTGTTTTTGCATATGGCTGTCCAAATGTTCCAGCACTCTTTGTTGGAAAAGGCCATCCTTTCTCCACCAAATTGCCTTTACACCTTTGTTGAAAGCAATATACATATTACCCCTCCCTTACATCTATGTATTTATCTGTGCAATCTATTTCTCAACTCATTATTTTGTTCTCCTGACCTATTCATCTTTATGCCAATACTATACTGTCTTAATGTGGTTTATAAGTTTTGTCTTCCAAAAATGTTCTTCAATGGTACCATTTTAATCCACGTTTTTTAAAAACCAGAAAGGACTATTTGAATATTGGGTATTATTATTTTTCTATTCCAGCCTCAACAGTTATTGAGGTAAATAGTAACCAACTAACAAAAATTACATAAATCTCAAAATCATTCTGAATAACTTATTTTTATATATCAAATGGACTATACAGATTAAAGACATTTTTACTCAAAACCAGAGGCACAATTAACACATGTAACAATATTTAACACTCTTACCTGCAAACCATATTTTACTCGTATTTTCTTTAATTCTTTTCTCCTTTCCAACTCTTTTTCCTCCTTACTTAGTGCTGGACCAACTAAGGAAAAAGTGAGTTTGTTTAAAAAAAATAAAAACACGAAGTCTGGACAGATATTATATAGATTATTATTATTTAATAATAATAAATTAATACTATCCATCTGCATATTAACTAAAAGTCCAAATAAACATTAATATAAAAGAATCTTTGGTTGTGGTTATGTCTTTTTTTTTTTTTTAAGATTTTATTTATTCATTCATGAGAGACAGAGACAGAGACAGAGACAGAGAGAGAGAGAGAGAGAGAGAGGCAGAGACACAGGCAGAGGGAGAAGCAGGCTCCATGCAGGGAGCCCGACATGGGACTCGATCCCGGGACCCCAGGATCCCGCCCCAAGCCGAAGGCAGGCGCCAAACCATTGAGCCACCCAGGTATCCCCACTGTCCTTTCAATATTCTGGTAACTAAATCTACTTGGAAAGTAAACCAAAACCTGAAGATAATAGGAATGTTAATGTATAGATAACAAAAGAACACTGAACATCTTAATTTTCTGATATATTATAGCAGAATTTCAAATGCAGAAATATCGCTAATTTTCCAAAGGAACACAGGCATATAAAGATCACTGAATCCAAGATTCACATTACTCTGTAATGTACCATACTCATTTTCATAATCTAGTATGGGAAAACAAAAAATATAAAATGAACATGTATAGTTGGTATGAGGGGAAAATTTGATGTGAAAAAAATTACTTCTTACTGGTTCAAAGTATCTATTTAAAATTTAAAAGCCTTTGATGAGCGGATTTAAGCAAGATAGCAACCTCTTACAGTGTTATTATAGATAATAATGGCAAAAAAAAAAAAAAGAATGGCATATATACAGATGATACATCAATGAAACTATCAGGTAAGGGGTGCCTGGGTGGCTCAGTCAGTTGTGTCTGCCTTCAGTTCAGGTCATGATCCCAGGGTCCTGTGATCAAATTACACACCCAACTCCCTGCTTAGAAGGGAGTCTGCTTCTCCCTTTCTCTCTACCCTTCTCCCCTGCTTGTGTTCTCTCTCTCAAATAAATAAATAAAAATCTTGAAGAAGAAAAGAAGAAACAACTGTAAGAAGGAAAGCAAACATATTGGGGCACCTGGATGGCATCTGCCTTCAGCTCAGGTCATAATCCCAGGGTCCTGGGATCAAGACCCACATTAGACTCCCTGTTCAACGGGGAGTCTGCTTCTCCCTCTTCTGCCCACCCACTGCTCAGGCTCGCTCACTCGCTCTCAAATAAGTAAAATCATAAAAAAGAAAGAAAGAAAGAGGGCCTGCATGGCTCAGTCAGTTAAGTGTCTGCCTTCAGCTCAGGTGGTGATCCCAGGTTCCTGGGATAGGGTCCTGTGCCAGGCTCCCTACTCAGCGGGGAACCTCCCTCTCCTTCCTGAGTTTGCTCTCTCTCACTGTCTGTCTCTCCCTCTCAAATAAATAACATCTTAAAAAAAAAAAAAAAAAGGAAGAAAGATAACAAACATATCAACCAATAACTTTTAACACCCTGGCCTATTATTTTCTACAGTATTATGTGACAGAGTTTAACTATGGATGACTTTTTCATATCCATAAATAGAAGTCAAAAGGAAACCAATCTTTACTATAATGATGTCACAATTACCCTTTTGAAGGACACTTAGTTATCACAGCAGTGCTGCTTCCAAAGCCTATTAAAATGTATTAGCAAAAATAGCTAATGATTGCCTTATGAGTCAGAGAACAATCTAATATTATAATAGCACAACTAAATTATTACACAGAAAAATCAACTAAAACAATAATCTACTAGCTTAAAAAAAATGAACTAAAATCATCGACTAGCCTAGGATTCAAATTTCAAATACGTGTCATTTCTTAGTCTCATCTGATAATATTTACTGAAATATAAATATATCTCAATAGAGTATTATATTAATTACATATGAAGCTAGTAGCTGATACTTTTTTAGAACACTCCAGTGAATTAAACAGAAAAGTTAGCATGCCTACATATAACAGTATGTTTCACATACCAAAACATTCATCTTTCTTATCAAGACGAAGGTGAGCTCGCACTTGTCCTGGTTCACAGCCATCACAGGTATCACTGCCAGGGTGGATGTGAAAAGACAGTACAGTCTCTCCAATTTTCACTTCATCACCATGCTCAAGTACATAAGGGTCACATTTAGTTTTAGGCTAAAGGAAAAAATTACAAAACAGAAATCCAAGAGAGTTACATAAGATTATTTTACATCTACCATAAGTAATGTCTGATTAAAATAAATACATATTTAGGATGGTTCTCAATGAGATAGACACACATACACACACACAAAACACATTTCCACAACTTGAGGATGAAATAATGTTCAACCAGTGGAGAAGATACCTGAACTGAGCAACTTCTTTTATATTATCAAAACCCGCTAATCTCATCTCCATGCGTAATCCTAGAGAAATACCCAACCCAAATGTCAAACAATCTATTACCAAAATGAATAACCATCACAGTCAAAAAGATAAAGTGTTAAAGGGGCTAAGTGCATATTTCCCTTTTTTTCCTCCTTTTCTCTGATAATTCAGTTTTATTTCACTTTTTATTCTTACAGACTAGGCCTCCCCCACTCCCTTCCATATATTTTCTTCCATGTATTATGTGCTAATAATAAGCACCTTGGTGTATGTTGGTGATACAAGTTAACTGGATAGAAAAAACCTCTGTCTTCCAGAAGTACTCAGTTTAGCAACATTTCCATTAAAAAATTTTTTTTAAAAATACAAAAAAGAAGTGCCCTTAAAGTTACACTAACAATATTTACTCTGAATAACTTTAAGATGCATTTATTTCTAAAATAAGGTATAGATATATAATTAGAAAATTATACTCAAGAGTTAAGTATCCACTTACTATATACTTTTTTCAGCCCTTTCTGGGAATTCCTTTCCATGTAATACATTTGGGCTTGAATAGTAATCTGAATCAAATGATATGTATAACTATAGCCTTTAGGATTAAAAATTTCAGTTCATTTTTTAAAACTTATGTATAAATAATTAATTTAATATATATACACTTACCTGAAGAATCTGTTTTCCATTAACAATTGTACCATTTTGACTACCTTGATCCACAAGGACATAACTTTGTAATTCATGGTCAAAATAAATTTCTGCATGAAACTTAAAAAAAAAAATTGAGGTAATTAAAAGTATAATACTTTTTATTTTTAAACCACAAATAACTTCTCTCTCATAGAATATGATAGACTTAAGTCTCTGATAAAAAAGATAAAATAATAAAAATTGAATTAAGTAAGCTCTACACCCAATGTGGGGCTTGAACTCATGACACCTCAAGATCAACAGTCTAAGCTCTACCAACTTTAGCCAGCCAGGTACCCCCAAATTTTACTATTTTTAATTTTTTACTGAATACGAAAGTATTACAATGCCTCTGGTAGAAATGTGAAGGCTACAGAAGAAAAAGTCACCTATAATTCCACCCACTACTGCTATTAATAATTTAGTGTCTCTTATTTTCTACTTTTATAATATAATTGAGATTATACTATGTAAACAATTTGAAATTATTTTTTCAGCTAATAAAAGTATTGGTCTTTATCATTTAAAATTCTTAATACAGAAAGTGATTTCAAACATTCAGGATGAACTTTTTTAAACATTCTATTTTTTAAAATAATCTCTATACTTAACATGAGGCTCAAACTCACAACCCCAAGATCAAGAGTCATGTGCTTTACTGACTGTGAGCCAGCCAGGTGCCCCCTCAAGGTGAACCTCTCAGAGCAGTTTTCCAGATTTTCAACACCTCAGGACTAATCATTCCCTCCTTGCTCCACAGTACTTTGTTTACATAACAATTACACTACACAAAGTTACTTCATCTGTGATAGTCGTTGTATGGCTCACAATTGCTGCTTCTATTACATTTTTGCTTATTATTCAGTACATAATACAGAGCCTCACATATAAGGGGCATATATACTCAGTACATGTCTATCTGATTGGATAAAGAACTGCAGACATGTAATTTACAATTTCATAATACACTGCTGTAGGAATGTAAAACTGCGTACCTGCTTTAGAAGGGTATAGCAGTTCCTCAAAAGGTTAGAAAGAATTACCGTAGGACCCAACAATTCTACTTTTAGGTATATATTGAGAGTAATGAAAACATACACTCAAAAACTTGTATGTGAACATTCATAACAGCATTATTCTTCGTAGCCGAAGAGTAGAAACAATTCAAATGACAACCAATCGATAAATAAAATGTAGTATATCCATACGCTGGTGTTATTATTTGACAATAAAAAGAAATGAATGAACCTTGAAGACATATTAGGTGAAAAAGCTAAGTAAAAACGAATACATTTTATGCGATTCCATTTCCATGACATGCAGAACAGGCAAATCCACAGAAGTAGAAAGCATACTGTGGTTACCTAGGGCTATGGAAGTTGAAAGGAAAAGGGGAGTGACTATTACTATGTTTCTTCTAACTGTGATGAATATGTTCTGAAATGGATTGTGATAATGGCTACACAATTCTAAATACACGAGAAACCTTTGAATTATACACTTTCAATGCATAAATTGTATATAGGATGTGGACTGTATCTCAATGAAGTTGTTCTTAAAAATTTTTCATAAATAAACTTATTTTAAAGTGTTCCAAACACACAAAAGAATATACTGAACTGGTCTACCCATGACCCAGTGTTAGTAAATTTTGCTATATTTGCCTCAGATATTTATTTATTTGATTTTATTTATTTGACAGAGTTTAAGCAGGTGAAGGGCAAAAGGAGAGGGAGAGAGAATCCCCAGCAAATTCCATGCTGAATGTGGAGCCCAACATGGGGCCCAACCTCAGGACCCTGAGATCATGACCTAAGCTGAAATCAAGAGTCAGACACTTAACCAACTGAGCCATCCAGGCTCCCTTGTGTTAAATATTTGAAAGAAAAATTATTCATGTATGTTTAATTCATGCTATCCATACCACAACACCCTTTTCAAAGGGTTGATATTTAATTATGATGCATCTCTTTATTACTTTCAGCCCAAATGTATGCATCCATAAACAATTCACGTTTATTTTACTTGGTTTAAAACTTGACATAAATGGGAATTACAATAAATGAATATTTTCTTGAGATGTAATTTATATACAGAAAATTCACAGGTCTTTAATTTATAGTTTGATAAGTTCTGACAATCATGTGCTACTGTATGTATTTCTTTTATTTAGCTTCTTTGGCTTAATATTAATATTGTGAGGTACATCCAGTTGTGTACAGTTTTGCCATTCTACTGAATGGTAAATCCACTGTACAGATTCTTCTACATATTTTTCTTCTGATGAACATTCAGAAAACCAAAAAGACGACCTTATTTTTTTTTTTTAAGATTTTATTTGTTTATTCATGAGAGACAGAGAGAGAGGCAAAGACACAGGCACACGGAGAAGCAGGCTCTCCACAGGTAGCCAGATGTAGAGGTCAATCCCAGGACCACAAACTGAGCCAAAGGTAGACACTCAACCACTGAGCCACCTTTTAAGATGTTTCTTTCAACATTCTTATACATTCAACCTTCTTGTAGACAATGCAAGGGTTCTTTGGGGGTATATTCTTAAGAATGAAAGTGCTAACTCATAGTATGTGCAAATCTTAAACTTTATTAGATAGTGTTGTATTGTTTTCCAAAGTGGTTGTACCAATTTATATTCCCAAAAGCAATCTATAAGAATTCTTGTTGCTCTATATAGCCTTAAACAACATTCGGTATTGTCAGAATCTTCAGTTTTTGTAAGCATAACATGTGTGAAATTAAATCTCATTATCGTGATTTTAATTGGCATTTCCCCAATTACTACAAAGACTAAAACCTTTCCTTATATTTATTAGCCACATGGATTTCCTCTTCTGTAAATTCTCTTTATGTTCTTTGTACATTTCTTTCAATTGGGTTCTTTAGAATAACAATATCAAAGCATTTTATTTAAATGAAACGATTTGTTTCAAGTCTTTTGACTTGAAACCTTATTCCATAGAACTGTTCTAAATTATGCTCTTAACAGTGATATTTAATAAATATGACAAATGAAAACTGACATCTTGACTTCATTTGTATTTCTTAAAATTTTTAGAAAGACCGAATGGTTTTCATATAGTAATGATATCCTCTGCATTGTGAATTATTTGTCCTTTGCTTACTTACCTCTCAGTGTCACAGTGAAGTCTGAAAAAATGAATTTGTATGAGATTTTAGAACTTAAAAGATATATATTTTGTCATATTTGTCTTACTGTCATAGTCTGCCTTTTTTTTTTTTAATTAAGTAAACTCTACCTCCAACATGGAACTCAAACTCACAACCTCAAGATCAAGGGTTCCATATTCTACTGACTGAGCCAGCAGGTGTCCCACATAGTTTTCCCTTTAAATTTGTTTAACATAACAAGAACTTCAAACTTAAATTATTCAAAATTATCTTGTCTTCTGTTATTTTTTCCATTTTTTTTAAACTTAGAAGGCATTTCCCTATCCAGGGATAGGAGATTCTATTTTCCCTTAATAGTAATATAAAGTATCTGGGATTTTATTTAATTTTTTTCATCTACCTGAATATGTGATATATTATCAAACTGATTTCACACAGTAACAAACCATTTACGCCAGCACTGAATACCTTAGTCTAAAAGAAAGATCAGTGGCAGCCCCGGTGGCTTTGCGGTTTGGCGCCACCTTCGGCCCAGGGCATGATCCTAGGAGACCCAGGATCGAGTCCCACATCGGGCTCCTTGCATGGAGCCTGCTTCTCCCTCTGCCTGTGTCTCTGCCTCTCTCTCTCTATGTCTCTCATGAATAAATAAAATCTTAAAAAAAAAAAAAAAAAGATCAAGCAGAAATGCCACCACAAAAATACCTATATTTTAGACAGAACTGCTATTTAAATAATAGCCGGGATCGGGGGGTGGGGGTGGCGAGACACCGGAGTGGTTCAGTCGGTTAAGCGTCTGCCTTTGGCTCAGGTCATGATTCCAGGGTCCTGGGATGGAGCCCCATGTCTGGAAACATGCTCAGCAGGGAATCTCCTTCTTCCTCTCCCTCTATCCTTTCCCCCTGCTCATGTGTGCTCTCTCTAGCTCTCTCTCAAACACATAAATAAAATCTTAAATAAATAAATCACAGAGTGGATTTTCTTTGGAGGCAGAAGAATCAAAGGTCATAGTAAAGTAAAAAAGCAAGATAATTTGGTCCTTTAGGATTATGAAAAGTTCCTCCCTTCTGAATGAGTTGAGACAAAGTAAAAATAAGTGGACTTTCAAACTATAATGGAAAACAAATTTCATCCCCAAAAGACAAAAATCACATAAAATATATACTTTAGATCCATATTAGTCTATTAAATAGAAACAAAATGTGGATGATGAAAGGTCAGAAAAAGAGAAAGATAGCCACCAAAAAGAGAGGTAGAAAAGTACAGAAAATACAGTAAAAAAAAAAAAAAAAGATAAATAGCAAGTATAAAGAATCTCAGTAGCAAAATCTTGTTTTCTACTGGTAACTAAAGTTGCGACTCTGCTCTTACTGTTTGTTTTAAAAACCCAAGTATTCTTTTCCCTGAAACCATTAGAAAAGCAATTAAGAAAAGCTATAAATGGAGATTCTTGGGTGGTGGACAGATGGTTTTTGAGTTGTAAAATACTCTGGACTCAACAGTAACCATCTAATAAAATAGCCTGAACCCTGGTGTGATTCATTTTTGAACTGCCACATCAAGCACATTTGTTTTACTCAATAAATATTTGTTAAATGGGTATTACTTTAATACTTAATCCACATTTCCATTCCTGCTCCAGACTGTTAAAAATTAAATATCATTTTGTTTACTCAAATTTTGATAAAGAATTATTCTCTCAAGCAATGGAATAAACAAATCTGAATTGTTTTCATTTCCTTACTACCTGGACTATTAAACTTTGTAATAAGTGAAAAAGTCCCTAAGCTTTCTGTTATAATATGAGTTTATAAAATCCTATCTAGGGTGCTATATTTGAGGAATCAAAGATCTTACCTTACTAACACCAACTTCAGGGATTCGGAGAGTATGCTCCATATCTTTTTCTCTGCAGAGTTAAGTAAATTGTCTTTAATAATTTTTGAACCATATATAGATTAAGCACTCACAGTTAACACAGAAATGATATTAAGATTTTGTCATTGTTTTAAAAGATAATGTTAAAATGCAAGTCCCTCTATCACCCTAAGTCGTTCCCTTAATCCTACTCTAAATGTCCTGTTTGAAAGAAGTCCCAGGATTACTTTTAATTTTGTATACATTTACTCTAGGTTAATAATAAACATCCAAGGGTGCCTGGGTGACTAAGGCAGTTAAGAGTCCAACTCTTGGTTTCCATGATATCAGGGTCATGAGATTAAGCCCTGAGTCAGGCTCCACACTCAATAAAGAGTCTGCTTGAGATTCTCTCCCTCTGTCCCTCCCCCTACTCATATGCTCTCTCTCTCTCTAAATAAAAACCTTTATAAAAAAAAAAATAACATTAAACATCCAGTGAGATAGCATATCCTTTGTACTAACATCTATCATTTATTCCAGATCTGTTGACTACATTCCCACTTCCATTACTACATGTAAAAGAACCATACTATTCTCCAAGAATTTAAAGCTAAGATATTAAATAGAATATGATTTAAGGATAAATTTTCTTTCCCATTGGGAAGTAATGAAATTATCCTACTCATGATTAAAACCTACCTTTCTACCAAGCTGGTTATGAGTTACAAAGGGGTAAAAGAAACAGAGGATGGGGATTAAATACTCGACAAACACTAGATTTAACTAATTTAAACCTTCAAAGGGCAATTCAAAAAGTAAGAAAATGACAAAATCTCTGTGACAAAGACAAGCCTCAACAATATTTTCTGAGTAGGAGAGAGAAGAACATGGATGTCATTCAGTGTCTGCCTATTCAACAAATACCATGCACATTTTATGATAACTGCCTGAAGAATATATAATCCACTGGAATAAGATAAATACACATAGTAATACTAAACATTTTTACCTTCCAATTGTAGCAGGGTTTACAGCTGTAATGATAAAGAGTGATCCTGTCTGCAACACTGGTGATCTAATAACAATTACTCTAATACATGGGGGCCAAATTTTTTCTTCATCTGCTAAAGAAAAAAACGGGTAAGTATTAATTCAAAAGCTACAGAAAAAAACAAAACAAAAGCTACAGAAAAAATTTCTAGACAGGAATACAAAGCATCCATAAAATAAAATGTATTGAGGGGTGCCTAGATGGCTCAATCGGTTTAGCACTTGACTCTTGATTTCACCTCAGGTTGTGATGTTAGGTTTGTGAGATCAAGCCCTGCGTAGGGCTCCACACTCAGCACGGAATCTGTTTGTCCCTCTTCCCCTGCTCCTCACCCATCTCCCACCCACTCTCATGTTCGCTCAAATAAAAGTCTTTAAAAAAAATTATGTATCAAAAATCTTAAATTCTTTTTGAAACAACCTTCTAAAATTCTGCTAGATGACATACATAATAAGTAAGGTTTTGGCACTTATCAATTTAGAGTGATCAAACTAAAGATATTCAGCATCTACAATTACAAAATAATTATTTTTTAAGATGTTGGAATTTGAAAAGAATTCAAAGAATTTATATATATATATATATTTTTTAAAGATTTTATTTATTTATTCATAGAGACACAGACAGAGAGGCAGAGACACAGGCAGAGGGAGAAGCAGGCTCCATGCAGAAAGCCCGACGTGGGACTCAATCCAGGGTCTCCAGGATCACGCCCTGGGCTGCAGGCGGTGCCAAACTGCTGCGCCACCGGGGCTGCCCGCCCAAAGAATTTTTATATTAACTTAGAAAAACTGAGTCACCCTTAAAAAAAAAAAGTGAGTGAAACGCATCACTGCATCAAGAACAAAATAAGCTCACTGAGGAGGATCCCTGGGTGGCTTAGCGGTTTGGTGCCTGCCTTTGGCCCAGGGCGCGATCCTGGAGTCCCGGGATCGAGTTCTGCATCAGGCTCCCGACATGGAGCCTGCTTCTTCCTCCTCCTGTGTCTCTGCCTCTCTCTCCCCCTCTCTGTGTCTATCATAAATAAATAAATAAATACATACATACATACATACATAAACACATAAATAATAAATAAATCTTAAAAAAAATAAGCTCACTCATATAACCTAATATGAAAGTATGTCTTTATGACCTCAAGCTAAAAAAAATGTAAGATTTGGAGCACCTGACCAGCATAGTCGGTTGAAATCCAACTCGGTTTCACCTCAGGTTGCAATCTCAGAGTTGGGATATCAAGCCCTGCATCAGGCTCGACAAATCAGTGCAGAATCTGCTCCAGATTTTCTCTCTCCCTTCTGCTCTGCCCCTTCCCCTACTCTTTCTTTCTCTAAAATAAATATTTTTTAAAAAAATATAAGATTTACCATAATATCTATGTAGCTGAATTCACGGACTACACTTTTTATTTCTTTTAAAGATTTTATTTATTTGAGAGAGTGAGCAAGGGCAAGGTAAGCGGTAGAGAGAGATGGAAGCTCCCCTCTAAGCAAGGAGCCTGATGCAGGGCTCTCCAGGATCATGACCTGAGCCAAAGGCAGATGCTTAACCAACTGAGCCACCCAAGCACCCTCAGACTACACTTTTTAAAGGCAATTTACTTTTTCACCTCAATTACAAAAGTGGACTACAAATATCTAATCTACGAAAATAGCCTTAATAGATACTTCAGAATGTATGTAACTTGTTTTTGTTCCATTGTCTAGGCCAGGCCATTCAATGCAACAGAACTTTAAGATCCAAGTACTGTTTATTCAAATCCTTCCTTCTAAAAATAACCACAGTGATATTGGTGACCACTTTGCTGGTAGCTAACATAATTCTCAACAATGTCATTAAAATAATCAGTTTAAAAGTCAATTTATTTTTGGCAGATACATTATATGAGTAAGTAACATTTTAAACTCTGTTGCTCTTTTACAATGAACAGACTGGGTTATTTACAGAAAATTAAACAATAGTTATTTACTCACCTTCATCCTCAGAATCTTCTACAGTTACATTGTCTTCACTGGTAATGTCTTCATCGTAACTGTCCTCTGTCTGAGAGTCTGTAATTTCACCTTCTTCTGGCTCACTATCAGTCTCCATGATTTTCTCATCTTTAAATGACGTTGAATTATAAATGCTTTCATTAAGAGAAGATTCTGTAGTCTTTCCACTAACTGAAACAGTAAATTTGGGGGGACTGTTTTTGTAATGAACGTCTATTTTAGCCTTCTTCTTCACATTTGCAAAATCTTCTCCCTCACTGCAGCTTATATGTTCAACACTGGATGCTTTTTGATCCTCTGAATTCAAATCCTGGAATGACAAAGATGTAGAGGGGGGAACAGGGGAAAATATCTTAAACATGACCATCTGCTAACATTTAATGCTAAATGTTTCAACAAATTAGTAAAGACATATATACATTATATATGAAATATCAATAGCTATTACCTATATCTCCTCTTCCTCTGTTCCCTTTCTTGATGACATTACCATCCACTTATCACTCAAATCAAAAATCTTATAGTTATGTTTGACATTCCCTTAACTACCACATGGAATCCGTCACCAAGTGATACAGACTATTTTTATAGTTTATCCCAATTCTCCTTATCTATTCCCTAACTGTCCCAGTACAGGCCCTTATCACATATTGCTTGGAACATGTGATAGCTTAGATCATTTCTGTCCAATGAAAATATAATGCAAGTCATATACATATACTCCAAAATTTCCTAGTAATCATTAAAAAGGTAAAAGTAGGTGAAATTCATTTTATCTACCCAGTATTTATAAAATATTATCATGTATTATATACAAATAAGTTAACCACTCTAAAATTATTAATGAAATACTTTATGTGGATTTTCTATATTAAGTCTTCAAAATTGAGTTTACTAGTTTATACTTACAAAACACCATATTAGGACAAGCCTCATTTCACGTGCTCAAGAGCCATGTGTAACTAGTAGCTGGCTACCTTACTGGATAGTGAATGCCTAGAGAATATATTTATCCTAAATTTTTTTTTTTAACTTTTAACCAATAATCAAGTCAAAACACATAAAAAACAAAATCAGCTTTAATTACAACAGTGATTTAAAGATCCAGATGTGGAAAAAAATAAAAAAATAAAGATCCAGATGTGGGGCACTTGGTGGCTCAGATGACTAAGTGTCTAACTCTTGGTTTTGGCTCAGGTCATGATCTCATTGATTGTGGGATCGCGCCCCAAAGTCTGGTCCACATTCTCAGCACACCCTTGGCCCTCCTCCAACTTGCACTTACATGTGAGTGCGCTCTCTTAAAATAAAAAAATAAATCTTAAAAAAAAATAAAGATCCAGATGTACCTAATGTAGCAGAGCTACAATTTCACTAAAATTTAGTACTTTCATAGAATTGGTCTGATTATACAAAACAGTTGAAGGTATAGATGAATCAGTTACATCTCTTTTATTCTAAAACTCCAAATTAGGGGGCATAAGTCTTTTATTATTTATGATACATGTGTGCGGTGGCATATAGGACAAATAAATCTATTATTTTGAACTTAAAAGAATCAAGAGTTATTTTCCTTTTTCCTATGGTTTGTAACATACTCTGAATCTTCTTTCTACCTAAAGCAACACAATGAAGTGAATTAGTATGGTCTTGTCACTTTATAAAATATGAGAGCATCTTAAGCACATATTTTTAACACCAGCATAAATTCAGTTTGGAGACCGGCTAAATACTCACAGTGTGATATATACGCTCCCAGCAATACAAACTCATCAAGGGCCAGAACAAGGACAATAAGCTGAAAAAATATGAGCAGCTTTAAAGTCCACTGTGAATTACAGCTAAAAATTTCCCTATCTATATATTCTTTTTTTTTAAAAAAAAAAAAAAGGTGGGGGGGGGATACCTGGGTGGCTCAGTGGTTGAGCATCTGCCTTTGGCTCACATCATGATCCTGGGGTCCTGGAATCAAGTTCCACATCGGGGTCCCCAAAGGGAGCCTGCTTCTCCTCTGCCTATCCTATGTCTCTGCCTCTCTCTGTGTGTCTCTCATGAATAAATAAAAACTTAAAAAAAAAAAAAGCGGTTTCCAATCTCATATATTTTATTATAATTACTGATTATAAGACAACATATGTGGGCGGGGACAGGGTAAAGGAGTGAAAATGCCAGAGGTGGTGCTTAAAAACCATCTACCAGAATGTTAGATAAATATTAAGAGAGAAGAAAGGGGTTTATTTGTGGGCATTGAGGCATATATGCATATTTCAAGTTATTTACACCAATCTCTTTCCACATACCTCCATTTGCAAAGACTGAGGCTCAAGAGTATCTTTAAAAAAAAAGATAAGGAAGTCTTAAATGGTCTCCCATGCTTCACAGCTACCTTTTAGAATATTTGGGGAATTCCCATCAGGATTTTTAAGTCCCTATCCTAGAGTTCGCATATTTTTGAAGAGGGATGGTAAAGATCAGCAGTCATGAGAACCTGGACTAAAATCTCACAAAACACTTTCAAATTTCATTCTCTAGTTTGTCAGAAAAAGTCATTTAAGGTCCCTATATGTTTTCTATTGCTAGACAGTACTTTACAACCTATCCTTTCAAATAGTTCAACTACCAGAAACAGAAAGAAGTCATTAAAACAGAGGTCTCGAAAGCACACTGAAAAATCACTTTTAGTGTTTACACTCTTTTCTATTCCTAAGTACATCAATGAAAATAAGAGAAATACAAACAAATCAAATACAGTAAATTCAGAAGAAACCTAATTCCATATGTGAACTTTAGTATTATACATTTTAAAAACTCTTTGACTAAGAGAAACACAGGACATGAAAATTTAAGAGTGAAGTATATAGTACTTACAATTCACAAAATGCCAGTGTAACAAATAAGCCTCCTCTCCTGCATATAAACCACCAACCTTATCTGTTTAGGGACTACACATAAGAACAGCGGTAACATTTTTTTATATTTTCCTTCTTTAAATTTAACCTTATATCATAAGCATTTTAAAAATTCTCCCATATCTTTATAAACTACCATTTTAAGGCCTAAAGAATGCTTTTTCGATTATATATACTATCCTTCTCTTAACCAATATCTTGTAGGCCAGTTGAATTCTTAATTTTATTCTGTTCTTAAAAATATTGCTATAGGGACGCCTGGGTGGCTCAGTGGTTGAGTGTCTGCCTTTGGCTCAGGGCGTGATCCTGGAGACCCGGGAACGAGTCCCACATCGGGCTCCCTGCATGGAGCCTGCTTCTCCCTCTGCCTGTGTCTCTGCTTCTCTCTCTCTCTGTGTCTCTGAGTAAATAAATAAAATCTTAAAAAAAAAAATGCTATATAACTACACACGGGCATTTTTCTTTCTTTGGATTTTTTTTTAAGATATTTTATTTATTTATTTTAGAGACAAGGCATGTATGCACACACAAGCAAGGGAAGGGGCAGAGGGAGAGGATCTCAAGTAGACTCCATGCTGAGTGCAGAGTCCAACATGGGGCTCGATCTCATAACCCCAAGATCATGACCTGAGCTGAAATCAAGTTGGATGCTCAACTAAGCCACCAGATGCCCCTTTCCTTGGATTTTTTAAAAACATTACCTGAAATGAGATTTCTCAGTTAAAGAAGATGAACATGTTTACGATTATTGATACAAAGGGCCAATCTATTTTCCCGAAAGACACCAAGGGTAAGCAACGGGCTCTTGGTTTCAGATGGCGTTGTGATCTCAGGGTCATGGAATCAAGCCCTGCATCGGGCTTCCCGCTATGCAGGGAGTCTGTTTGAGGATTCACTCTTCTCCTTCTGCCTCTCCCCCTGCTCGCTCTAAAATAAATCATTAAAAGGCGGGGGGGGGAGGGCAATCTGGGTGGCTCAGGGGTTGAGCGTCTGCTTTTGGCTCAGGTTTGTGATCCTGGGATTGAATCCCACATTGGGTTCTCCGCAAGGAGCCTGCTTTTCCCTCTGCCTATGTCTCTGCCTCTCTGTCTCGTGAATAAATAAATAAAATCTAAAAAAAAAAAAAAAAGACCCCAATTTCCACTTTTTTTTTTTTTTTTTGAGATTTTATTTATTTGACAGGGAGGGAGAGCACAAGCAGAGGGAGCAGCAAACAGAGGGAAATAGAGAAGTAGGCTCCCCACAAAGCAAGAAGCCCGATGTGGGGCTTGACCCCAGGATCATGATCCAAGCCAAAGGCAGGTGTTTGACTGACTGAGCCACCCAGGTACCCTGACATCAACGTATTGACTGAGGGTCTGACTGCTCTTCTTCCAAATTATGTAACATATGAGTATTTTATCTGCCCTAAATCTACCTCCTTCAAATGTTAAGAAATTCTTTCTACTTCTACTAAGAATTTGTGAAAAAGTCCATCTTTGCCACATCTGAATGTTCCTTGGTTGACAGGTTCTGGTATCTTAACTTAATGGGTATGTCTGAAATATAGCTACTCAATGATAATTTTTGGTTTCATCAAAAACTTTGACAAATTATGGTATCATTATTAGGTATATTTTTTAAATTATGAAGACATTACCTTTTCCTCGTTTGCTAAAGAAGAATCTAGATCCTTTCTTTTCTTCTTCAATTTTTTATCCTTACTTTGTTTTGTGCCACAAGTCTGATAAGGTTGCAAATCGACTCGAGAATGAAATTGGTATCGACCACTTTCCACATCACAGTAGTAATATATTCCAGTGGAAGGATCATAATATAGTTGATTTTCCTTTCAAAGTCAAGAAAAAAGTTAAGTTCCAGTCAGATGATAAAATAAAATTTAAAAATAAACAACAGAAATGTCAAATATATTCAAAAATAGTAAATGTTTCTTTCTTTTAAGAACTCTATTTTCTGAAGATAATGAGTAAAGACAGAATGAAAAATGCTTCTAAGTTTCCAAAATACTTACCATTCAATATTTGCTCTAATTTTCCTAGTATAAAAAATGAATACATTCGAATATTAACTTGAATCTCATGAAAATGCCAATATTTTGCCATTTTCATACTTAAGAGAAACAGCAATTTCATATGGTTCAACTTGATACATTAATGAAAATGGTAACAGAATACCTTTTAGAAGTCATGAAAACTAAGGCATGCATCAGAAAAAGCTGACTATATAAAAGTAATTCCAGACTCATTATCCTTATGATTACACAATAATGATTTGGTAGTATAAACACCGCCCCCCCAAACTCTCCTCTCCATGTATAAAACAAATATTTGCCTTTTAGTGCTCATGACTAAAAACCCCGAAGAAAAATTCAAAAATAAAATTAAGCTCATAAATACATTGTATATAAAGAAACTGATAAACAACTGTCTTTATTAATTCTACTCTAAGTAATAAAATAAGTGAAAGAACCATGCAAAAATGAATTTTGGCAAATTATGGATTAAAAACTAGAAAAAAAGACATCTGCATTTATTTGATAATGGCCTATACTGTATAACCAAGATTTAATTCAACAGTCTTTATTTTTATTTACTTCATAAATCCATGCAGATCAGACCTGGAAAAGTTTTATGTTATACTAAGGTTAAGCAACTAAAACTGCCTGGAAAGGAGTATTTTTCTGTTGATATTACTGTAATTTATTGTCTTTAATTCACTTTGCAGGTCTCTTACAAAAATATTTAGAATTCAATCTCTTCTGTAACTAAAAAATTGAATGGAAGCTTTCTAATCTTTACTATTAGTGATACTAAAACTTTACAACTCAAACATGTTTAATCTCTTACCTCTTTCAGTCCAAAACACATTTTCAAAAATATGAGAAAATGATTTAATTACAATAAAATGAAAACTAGTTAAATAAGGGCAAAACAATGAAGTACCTAATTTACTGAGACATATAATCAGCAAAATATAACTAACCATTTACAGAAGAAATGTCAGGAGGAAAGCTACAGAAAGGAAGGTAGGAGAATGATGAAGACTAACACCATACACTTGTATAAACTCTGTATTTTCCTCAAAACCAATTAAATAATAGCTATTCTTTGTTTTGTTTTTTAAGATTTTATTTATTTATTCATCAGAGAGAGAGGGGGGCAGAGACACAGGCAGAAGGAGAAGCAGGCTCCACAAAGGGAGCCCGACGTGGGACTCGATCCCAGGTCTCCAGGATCACACCCTGGGCTGAAGGCAGCGCTAAACCGCTGAGCCACCAGGGCCGCCCGCTATTCTCTTTGGTAACAGTTTAAAAATTAATTTTCTGGGTATTAATTAGCATTGTCAATTAGCATACTCCTGTGAAAGAAAGTCCTCTCCTTACAAGATATTTAGAGAGTATACCAAGTATAAACCAACAAGCTAATGAAATCCTTTCTCTAACTAAGGTATTTAGGATCATCATTATGTTCCCTAGATTAGTTAACAATAGTTTCAGGGACTGGAATGGTGAACATCTGCTTCACTTTTGGGTACTACATTCTGTAATTTCTGAGGACCAGATCACCTGCCTAGACCACTGAGGCTGAGGTATATAGGTATGTAAGTTCCATCATCATTGTCATCAAATCCTGAATGAAATCCAATTAAGTACCAAAAGTCAACAGTCATAACATTGGATTACATATAAATCAATAACTTTATTTTCTAGTTCTGTCCTAATCAGTGGTCCATTACATATCTTATTCCACACAAATTCCCTAGTTCTCACTGTTTTATTTTTTATTTTTATTAGTTCTCACTGTTAGTATTTTTTAAAAGTGAAATGCTTAAAAGCCATAGAACTTTTAAACTAATAATAAACATACTATTGAGAACTCAAGAAAAAAGACTTTCTCTAGGGCTCAAATGGATTCCTAAGTACTTGAAACAATTTTTAAAAATCTCGCATCAGGCCTAGAATTAACAGTGTCACTTCCTTACAAATTCTATGAAAAAAATTAGGTTCTTAAACACTTTACAACAATGCAATTAACTGTCTGCTTTTATTAATAAATGCTCTAACATTTTTGTGTGTTACTTTACATACAAAAGGTTATTGATTTTTCTGAAGTACTAATCTAACAATCACAATTAACTTATTAAAAATTTAGAAGTGCAGCATCAAAAGCAATTTTATAACTCTCTACTCATGTCAAATAGCTTTGAACCAAATATAATTTTTCAATCCAGTTTCTTGCTTTTCTCACTTCAGCTTAGGGTTTAATTCTTGGTATCAAGCAGCAAGTATACAACCATACAACATTAAATGGTCCAAGAGGGGAAATCCCTGGGTGGCGCTGCAGTTTAGCGCCTGCCTTTGGCCCAGGGCGCGATCCTGGAGACCCGGGATCGAATCCCACATGGGCTCCTGGTGCATGGAGCCTGCTTCTCCCTCTGCCTATGTCTCTGCCTCTCTCTCTCTCTGTGTGTGACTATCAAAAATAAATAAAAATTTAAAAAAATAAAAAAATAAAAAAAATAAACGGTCCAAGATACTTACAGAATCATAATAGAAACCAGTGCTGTGATCAAAATACAGTCCAGTGTTCTCATCATAACTAAATCCAGTCTGAGACACAGCAGCTTCTGCTGCAGCTCTCAAACTTTCAGCTAATGAAGAACCTTCTAAGGATGTATCTTCTGCTGCTAATACAGATGCTGACTCCTAGGTATGATACATTCATATCAAGTAAGACAAAAACTTCATTTTATCACTTTAAAAGTTAAAAGAAGCAAAAACAATGAATAGACTTAAAACAATTTTAAATAATAAGACTTTAATTTCTGCAATGGAAAGAGATGGCTATCAATTACAGTTTGGTCCCCTTTAAAAAATAGTTACTAGGGTTTTAGTTAATTCAATTTTAACCCAGTTTGTTTTTTTTCTTAAACTGTAATTTTCACTGCATCATTATACATAGAATGTTTATAATCTTTGTATATATCGTGACAGATTAAAGAAGAAGTCTATTTTTCTATATAACAACAACAAAAGACACGTTTTTGGGCATCAACAATTTCAGGTTAAGCATTTTATTACCTGGGAATTTGAGGCAAAATGGTCCTCTTCTGCACATTTAGCATGTTCTGTTATATCAGTACCAGTGTAAGCGTCATTATCTATTTGTGACTGGTCTTCAGAATTTAAAGTAGAAGCTTTGATATCCTGATCTTGCTGAACTGAGAGTTCAGTCACTTTATTTGGAAGACTAACATCCTTATAGTATGTCTGATAATAATAATCTGGAGCAAAAACAATTAGGGGATATCATATTAGAAAAATATATATGAAGAGGAGTTAATTCCCAACCACCAACACTGAACATAATACAGGACACGATGCAAACATATGGTATTTTAAAACTGTATACAATTTAACAGATTAAATGGACCGTGCAGATAAATCAGCAGAAGTATCTATCTTTGATTCTAATGTCACCTTCAATACCCTAGCGGTCAAACTAAAAAGTTTTTAAAAAGGTGGATTTGGGGGACACCTGGGTGACTTAGTTGGTTAAGTGTCTGCTTTTGGCTCAGGTCATAATCTCAGGGTCCTGAGATCAAGGCCCAAGTTGGGCTCCCTGCTCAGTGGGGAGTCTGCTTCTCCCCCTGCCTGCCGCAGTCCCTGCTTGTGCTCGCTCTCTTTGACAAATAAAATATTTTTAAAAAGTAAATAAAAATAAAAAAGGTAGATTTGGATTTCCCCTAGCAAAAACAAAAAAAAAGAAAACAGGTGAATAGGTTGTGTGCTATCAATAAAAGAGTAACTCTTAACTTCTAATCATATACCATACTGTTGCATATGGAATGGAGTGGAAATGGAATGACAAATGGAAATAAAGATCAAGAGCTGATTTTTCTGTCAAATTTCTCCCATGATGCTGGCTTTAAAAAAAATCATACAAATATGTAATGTTAATACTATTGCTGTGTTTAACAAATTAGTTAAATCACATACTAAATATAAGAAGGCAAAACTTAACGTAAAGATCATTTCCTGTGATCCCTATTTATTAAAACCCAGTTGCTCAATTACTTTGCCTCACAAGGCTACTGATGAGGTCATGGTTGTGAGCTCATCACTCCCGTAAGAGCCTAAGACACCGGCACTGAATGCAATGCTAAGTGGAACGCATCAACCAGAAAACACAGATGCCTGGTTACAAGGAAGGCAGATTCAAGTAGACGATTCACAACATGGCAAACATTACTCAGTTATGTGCCACTGAAAACACATGAGCAATATATTTACAGAATGACATTTCTGTCTTCCCACCAGAAGAGCATAGAGATTATCTGAAAATACCAAATCATATGAGAAGTCAACATTACAGTTCTCAGCTTTATCTACATGTATGTCTATTTTAAATTTAAAGTAAATTTACGTTCACATCACCTCAACATGATGTGAACGTAATAGCAGTAAGGTATCTTCGCTATAAGCTGAATACCTGAGATTGACCAAGGAGGGTGGTTCTCTGTTTGTACTTCTACATCAGACTTCTTACTGTCTTCATTTCTCCCACAATGGAGTATTTTACTGAGCTCCTCTACCTAAAAGAAAACAAAGCTTTAGAAAAATATGTCACATAGCTATCTAATAATATACACACCGTTCTCCTGAAATTATGACATTTTTCTTGGAGAAGTTTTAGAGAAGCACAAAAGGTGCTAGTTTCCTTTTCAGAAAAAATAAAAACACTATAACTTTCTTTCATCTTTCACATTTGCAGAGGGAAATGTTTCTATTTTTATACTCTTGCTAAACCTCAAAATATTCCTTCCAAAAATCAGATGAACTAAAATAGGGCTCTGTGAACAGGATCCCTTATTTCTAACAATAAGAATGTTTTTATACTAAAATTTTAATCAGCAGTTCTTCCTAAAGAATTAGTTTAAAAACCATTAATACCCATTCACCAGATTAAATTATCTAGCATCATTCAGTGTCCTCCACCTAGAATTATTCACTTAAATATATTAATATTCACTTGTATGTTTTAATGCACTTTTTTCTTTAAACAGCAGATAGCAGTCTTATGACTAAACAACTGCAGCAGAAGGGAAGATAGGTCACTGTCTCAGTGGGGCATCTGTCCTCCCTGGGCCTCACTGAATGCCAGGGCCAGAGCAACACTGTGAAAACGCCCATAGCAGATGAGGAGCAATCCCATAAACACACACTTCACATTCAGAAAGGATCTCCGTGTGAGACGTCTACGATAGGCATGAAATTAACTAAAAAAACAAGCTTTTGAATACTTAATGACACACAAAGCTTAAAAGGAGAAAGGTGATAAGACTGATTATACACACATTATCTAGCACTTCATTAGTTATCAGATCCTATTAGCACCACTGCTGGAACTAGAGTGAAGCAAGCAAGGCATCCAGAGCAGAAAAATTATTTATTCATTTTTTAAAGATTTTATTTATTTATTCATAAGAGGCAACACAGAGAGAGGCAGAGACATAGGCAGAGGGAGAAGAAGGCTCCTCGAGGGGAGCCTGATGTGGGACTCAATCCCGGGACCCTGGGGGTCAGGACCTGAGCTCAAGGCAGACGCTCAACCACTGAGCCACCCAGGTGCCCCAGAGCACAAAACTTAAAGAGGACTTATTCCCAGCTCCATACAAGTACAGAGTCTGTACCAGAGAACGAGTACCCCTTACATTTTTTGCCCTGAGTTACTGACTGCCCTGCTCCAGGCCTGGCTCCAGCTACTACCACTATTACTATAAACTTGATAATTTGTTTAGTATCTGCTACATGCTTGGCACCAAACTTAGTACTCTGGATAACCTCTCATTAATTCTTCCAAACATGTTGCAGAATAGAGGCCCTAATCACTATTTTACATGAGAAACCCAAAGAGACAAAGTAATCTGCCCAAGGTTCAGAGTCTGAAACCTATACTACATTTTTCCATCAGCTCACCTTCAGTTCTCAAGCCGACTTTGCCACTTCAGATAAAACATTATTTAGTAATTTGAGATGACAGTTAACCAACCTCTACCCACCATCAGGAGAAGCTCACTAAGAGGGTAAAGAAGAGTCATTACTGTCACCAGTAGAGTCAAAGCTTTTTGTGCATTTCGATTTCCCATTAGACTACTATCAAATTCACACTAACAAAATGCTGGCTCTTCGAAGGCTAACAAAAATTTCTTTTTTTAGATCTTGAGATTAAAAATTGAGAATCATAAAAAGGCTTTTTAAAAGGAATTTTACAGGAATCTTTTGCTCCCCTTCCGTCATGATAGTTTAACCCTCCATGCGGTCTCCAGGGCAGTCCTCACGTATTTCTCTGCAAGAGCTCACAGTGTCTTCCGAAACGCCACATTAACAAGCTATCCAACAGACACCCTTCCTTCACCGCATCTCAGCAGTTATTTTCATAGATCGTTTGATAACCAGAAATAACAAAGGCTACCACTGTTTTAGCGCACAGTCTTCATGTGCAAATTTTAGCAAATACACCAACTATTACAACGGACTAGACAACAGTTTGCCACTAATAATTACATAGACACAACTTGTTGGGAGAGTGTAACTGTCCAACAAATGAAGCTGGAAAAATATATTATGTTCCTTCTTAAAAGTTAAAAAAAAAGACAAATACTTATCCTTACCCCATTTTAGGAAAATGAAGGTAGCTGGTTAGTGTCTCTAACAAAGACAATTCTGGCCTCCCAGTTTTCAGCAGAAAACTCAAGCTTGTGAACGCCCAGAAAAACCACCTCTGACACATGCACAGCGCTCAACAGTTTGTAAAACTCTAGACTGCTCGTTCGTGCCTAATCTGACTTAACCTCCGCGCGCGCGCGGTGCTAACATTGTCATTTTACGGCCAACTGAGGTTCTAGCTTCAAGTCCAGAGCTTTGACACACTCCAAAGGTATCGAGAAAAAAGTAATATCCATGTTCCTAGAGCCACGGGAACGTCACCAGCGAGAGTGAAAACTAAGGTGACTCCGGTCGCGCCCCGCGGCAGCTCCTGCACTCCCCAAACCCAGGGCCCGGCCTCGGGCTGGCTGCAGAGGCACCTGCATCTCCTTGCAGGGCTCTCCAGAGCGGCTCGGGGCCCGCCCGGGAGCCCGCTGGCGCCGCGCACCTGGCTGCGGAGCTCCTGGTTGCTGCTCTCCGCGCTCTGGTACAGCCGCTCCGTGTGATGCAGCAGCTTCTCGATCTCCCGCACCTGCCGCTTGCAGCTCCGCAGCTCGCCTTCCAACTTCTCCACCTTCCGCCTCAGCTGGGCCAGCTCGGGCTCCGGGGACGGCGGCGACGGCGGGGCCTCGGAGGCCTCGGAGGCCATGGGCCCGGCGCGGGCGGGGGCGGGGCCGGGGCCGGGGGCGCTCACACGGAGCCGGCCGCCGGCGGGGCCTCAGGCCGCGAGAGCGCGCGGACGCGGAGGGTGGTCCTCGGGCCGGCCGGGCCGCAGCGGCCGCTGGCCATGACGCCTGGCGCTCCCCGCCCGCAGCGAGCGAGGGAAGAGGATGGGCGCAGCGCACCCCGCCAGATGCGGAAACGCGGAGACTTCCTGTCGGTACCTTCCCCCGGCGACCGACAGAGCTGGGGAAACGCCGCAGAAATGGTCGGCGCCGGGCAGCGGGGGCCAGACGCACTCGGAGGACCCCGGGCTGAGCCGGAAGCGGGCGCGCGGGCGGTGGGCGGGGCCGAGCCTGGAGGAAGCTACGGGTCCTGCGAAGGGCCCTGCGGCGCATGCGCGGCCTCCACCTGGGCGGGGCGCCTGCGCCCTGGAGTCCTTTCCAAAGCGGCTGCGAAGCGCTGCGGGCACCTGGAGGGTCGCTGCCTCTGGTCCCAGGTTTTTAACACTTGCCGACGTCGGGGAGCGCGAGTTTCCGCCTCCTCTAAGGTCCTTCCAGCTGCACTAAGAATCGAATTCACATGAGACAGGCTAATAAGAAAAATTTAATTTAATAGGCATAGATATGAGGAAATCCACATAGACATGAAAATGTAGATAGGTACGAAGAGCTCCGCGGGAGTAAAAACGAGGGAGGAGTCAGACTTCAGATGGGGGTGCACTTGCACGGAGCCTAGATGAGCGGTTAGGTGTTTGCCCCACCGCACGGATAAAACTCCTCTCTGTCAGTAAGCCTTATTCTGGGAAAGACCCCAGTTTGGATTATTCTGTGCGGTTAATGGAGGACAAAGGTGGCCCCGCGGGCTCCTGCCTGCCCGGCACCGGCGAGCAAGAAGCTTCCGCGCTCCGTGCACACCGTCCACTTGGCAGCTCTTCATTCTGCAGCACTTTTCAGGTGTCAACGCAAACTCCAAAAATAATTTGTCAGGGTTTACAGAGATAACGCTCGGCCAGGGCACAACATAGTTCTCTGAGGCTCTGCTTACTTAATCACTTCTGCTGATGCTGTGAACGTAGCCCCCCCCCCCCCCCGGAAACGCAATCAGATTCATTAGGTCTGAGTTGCAGGAAGGAGCATCCCTGGTAGGAAAATAAGCATCTAAATTCTGTGAAAACGGGGGAGAAAAATGCTCTGGTTCACCGGATCTATTTGGTGTTTTACCTGTGTGAAACCTTGTGGAGGCGAGAAAATTAAGGCCATTCAAGGCCATTCCACTTTAAGCGTTAGCACAAGTACAGCCATCCCAGGCCCCTGTGAATAAGAGCTGAAATTTACATTACTTCAGTTACAGGGAAGAAAAAAAAAAAAAAAAACAGCTTACAGCTTAAAGTAAAGCCCCATATTAGAATGAGAACGGAGCCCAAGCCAGTGGGGGAAAGCCCCATATCAGAATGAGAACAGAGCTCAATGCCCTTGAAAGCCCCATATCAGAATGTCAACAGAACTTGAGCGATTCCTTCCCCCCTTCTGGAGGTCCCCTAGACCAGCCCATAAAACTTAGCTGAAACCCACCTCGGGGTCCAAGTCCCTGCTGCTCCTCTGGGTGGGGTGCACTTGGACCCAAGCTCGAGCTTGTAAATAAACCCTCCTGTGTTTGCATGAGGATCGGCTCCTTGGTGGTTTCTTGGATTCCCAATCTTGGGCACAACAGCCTTTGTTCACCGGCCTTTAACTGATGAGGGCCCTCCTGAAACATCCTTCCTTCAGCAAGGTGGATCAGAACCATGGTCTTAGCCCAGAGTGCTGTGCCTGAGGTCAGCACCCACGTCTTGCCAGTCCTTTCCCAGGGTCCAGCACAGTGCCTGTTGCAGAGCAGGTATCCTTTTTTTTTTTTTTTTTTTACGATAGTCACACACACACACACAGAGAGAGAGAGAGAGAGAGAGAGAGAGAGAGGCAGAGACACAGGCAGAGGGAGAAGCAGGCTCCATGCACCGGGAGCCCGACGTGGGATTCGATCCCGGGTCTCCAGGATCGCGCCCTGAGCCCAAGGCAGGCGCCAAACCACTGCGCCACCCAGGGATCCCAGAGCAGGTATCCTTAAATGTTTGCTGAACACAGCCAAACAAAAGCAACAAAATAAAGGTATGCGCTCAAGCCCCATGTTGGGTGTAGAGATTACTAAAAAATAAAAAGACTTTTCCAAAGCCCCACTCAATGATTTCTGTTTATATCCTGACACCCACCCTTGCTACAAGTGTGGCTGGCAATTGTGTGTGTATGTGTGTCTTTCTAAACTGCAACACATAAAAAATAAAAAATAAACTGCACACATTATTCCCAATAGTAAGAGGTTCTATAAATATGAAAGAGAGGGAAATTACATGGTGAGTAGGTGAACAGCAGTTTTTGCCATAGGTAGTTTTCAGATCAAAAGTTACTTACTGGGGCACCTGGGTGACTCAGTGGGTTAAGCGTCTGCCTTTGGCTCGGGTCGTGATTTCAGAGTCCTGGGATCCAGCCCTGCATCAGGCTCTCTGCTCAGTAGGGAACCTGCTTCTCCCTCTCCCTCTGCCTCCACTGTGCCTACTTGTGTGCACATGCTCTCTCCGTCTCTCTGTCTCTCCCTCTCAGTCAAATAAATAAATAAAATCTTAAAAAAAAAAAGTTGCTTACTATAGTGGGCAAGGCCAGTGCCCTAGAGAATCATATTACTTGACACTCTTCACAATTTGATTTTGTTTCTGTAATATTTTTTCTTAGCTATTATTTTGTATGTAAGATTATAGTCATAGTTCTTAGTTTACAACACATTATCAACATTGGCCCATGGATGGCTCCTCTTTTTGTTTTAGTTTTAGTGTCACTCTATATCCCCAGTTGCCATTACCACCTTTCTGCCAATGGGCACCTACTCTTATGTGTCTGCTGTACATCTTTAAATATAAATCTATCCTTATATGTTTTGTGTGTGTATGCATTTTACCTGAATACTGTTTGGTTTTAAGTCTTACACTGTTTCTTATTTTTTCCACAGTAAAAGATGTTTTAAAAATTCATATATATTGCTATATATACATCAAACTGCTGCATAATATTCCAAAGTATAAGTATACCGCATTTAATTTACCCATTAGTGTCAACATCTAAGTTATCTCTAATTGAGATATCAATTAGTCTCCATTGGTACCACAATGAAAACCCTTATTCATTCCACTTTATTGGCCCGTGCATTCATTTCTTTAGAATACGTAGCAAGGCATGTGATCTCTGGTTCCTAGGGCAAACATGTAATTTGATTCTGTTCCACTAGGTTGCTTTCCAGAATGGCTGTATGTTCTCTTCCCTACAGAAGCAGAATTCCCCGCCCCACCTTTGAATCCGGGTTTGGCTGTGTGACTTGTTTTGGCCGCTTGAATGAAGTGACTTCCAGAACAGTGCACCAGCTCTGATGCTACCTTCTCAAGATACCCTAGTAGTTCTGCTTGCTTTCTTGAATTTCTTTGATTGCCATGAGAAGAACATGCTCAGGTGTCTGCTGGTCTTAATGGGGGATAAATGACACATGGAACAGATCTGTCCCAGCTAAGCCAGCCTACAGCAGAGGTCCTCGGAAACCCTCAGACACTGGGCAATCCCGCCTAGAGATCAGCCCACCACCACCTCACCCCAGGCTTATGGGAAATAATAAATGATGCTTAGGGGAAGCCACTGAGTTTGGGGTTGTTTTGTACGTAGCAATAACTCATACTCAACTAATCTAAAGCCATGCCAGGGTCCTGTGGGTTTCAGCAGGCTGGAGTCCAAGTACCAGAGACCTTTTTATATTCTGCAACAGAGGAATATTGTTTATTAAATAAAACCTGATTTATGTCCAATTTCTTTTAGAATGTCATCAATTCTATATTTAATGAAATTTACCCATCATAATTTATGTTGGATCCAATGAGTAGCCAACACTCTCCTATCTGATCCTACTGTTTGATGTCACACAAGGATATCTGGGGAGCCATAGCATTTCAATAGTTCTGATTTATTGCTCCACATTACTTTCAGTCAATTGACCATTACCTGTTTCCTTCCCCTGGAGACCTAAGGAAAGAATGGGTAGGTGTAACACTAAAACCCTGAAGGAAGGGTGAAGGAAGGAAGACAGAGGAAATGAGGCAAGCCCCTCTTCTCCACCCCCAGCTGAAATACTAACATTTTGCATTTTCATTTTGATGTAGAATTAATTTTCAAATTACTATCTTGTAAATTTTCTGATGCTTCCCTTCCCCCACCATTCCCTCCCTTACACACATCCGTGATATTGAGAAAGCTGACTCTTTAAGGAGAATCCATCTCCACTGAACTGATTCTAGGTCTTCAAGATGCAAAATCAATGCTTTAGACTAGAACAGTATTTTCTCAAACTCTACGTTGAAGGACCATTTTTATTTTTTTTAACATTTTTTTCTTTATTTATTTATGATAGTCACACAGAGAGAGAGAGAGAGAGAGAGAGAGAGAGAGAGAGAGAGGCAGAGACACAGGCAGAGGGAGAAGCAGGCTCCATGCACCGGGAGCCCGAAATGGGATTCGATCCCGGGTCTCCAGGATCGCGCCCTGGGCCGAAGGCAGCACTAAACCGCTGCGCCACCCAGGGATCCCCTGAAGGACCATTTTTAAAAGTTCCAATTCAAAAAAAAGTTCCAATTCATTACTTTTGTAAAATACAACAAAATCTAGGAGAGAATAAAGGATGCAACAGGTGTTGCTGGATAGTATGAAAGGATTTCCCTTAAATATTTCATTTTTAAGAGATGCAAGTTAAAGATTGAGCATTTTGTTACTTGGCTACTTACATAGTACTACTTTGAATGCCACTGATTATCAGGTCAGGAATTCATTAGTATTAAAATTGGATAAAGAATGTAGAAACTAGCAACCATGCATCATTGCTAATTTCTTTTGAAGCTGTTCGTCACTTGGTGGTGCCTCTTAGGCATCCTATAGCATAAATGGAAAGGCCTTGGCTTTTCTTTAAAAATCACTCAAACCAGCCAATGCTGAACTGTATCTAATTGTCCAAAGCTGGGAACATAGATAATCTCTTTGTCCTGAGACTTAACTTGTAAATTTTCTCATTTCATTTCATTTTCTCACTACCTCCAAAGATCCTGGAACTTAAACCCTTTCTGGATTTAATTTAAAATGTGTTTTTGTGGCAGATTCTGCTGGTTGTCAACCCAATAGCCATTCTCTTTTCTTCTTACAAGAGAACCTGAATTTTGTTTAGGATAACAACACACATCAGCTGGGTGACCATGTAACATAGTTATAGCCAATGAGGTGTA